CTTATTCTTGACACAACAAACATTAAATAAAATATTCAACCCAAAGTTTGTGTGGATCAAAATATTGCATCTTGGGAGACATTTCCGTTTATCTGCTGCAAAATAATAAGGCGACCATCAAATTTAGTGTGTTCTTTTCTTTCTGCAGCTGCCTTCAGTCGACAGCTCCAGTCCTCCAGACCCACAGGGGGCGCTACGGTGCACCAGTTCCAGCCTGGACTCCAGAGGTCTGTACCTGGTTCACGCCCCCTTCACTGTGCTGCTCTGGGTTGGCACTCAGGTCCCTGTGGGGACGCTTGTTGAGCTCTTCAACGCCAGCTGCTTCTCGTCACTGCCTTCAGGCGAGGTGGGAGGAAACACCGATTTATTTATTTATATTGAACATGCAATAAAAAGTAAAAACAAAAATAATAATAACACTAAGAGACATGCAAACTGTTAAAAAAAGATCATATAGAAGACAAAAGATGAAACACTCATGATTCATCTGCGTAAAGATTAAACCACTTAGAGAAAATATGTTTCCTTCAGAATATTGTAGTGATGGCATAGTTTGTACAACGTTTGTCATCCTTTAAGAGCCTTGATGTTGAGTAAGGCATTAATCTGACATCCTTCCGGTTTATGTCTTCCTCCTCCTTTCTCCTCCTGTTTGTTTAATCAGACCAACCTTCCAGCTCTGGAAAACCGTCTGTCCATCAGAGTCCGGTCACTCATCAACTCGCTCAACTCCGAGGTTCCCTACGCCCGCAAGGTGACATGGAAACACTTTGCTTTACTAGACAGAGTTTTGATGCATGTGATTAAACTAATTTTACACTATTTTAATACATTAAAAGGTTCTTTTACAGAGGCTGGACTAAAGAATGTTATTCTTAAAGGAATGAAAACATGGCAATGTGACAGATGCTAGAGCTTTTAAAAGAGCCTTGCTTAATTATTTTATTACGTAGTGTTATCATCGTGAAAATGTTATGTTTCTAATGTAATTATTTCATTATGTAAAATGTTAAAATTGTGCATTTATGAATCCATATGTTATATTTAAGTGTGTGTAACTGTTTTTGTAATAAATGATTTTTTTATGATGTGCAGCGTTGACTCAAGAAACGTTTTGTTTAGCGCTTTAATAAGTATCGTTATTTCTTTTTTCAGCTTGTGGTGGTGAAACAAGGCGACACCTGCGAGGAGGCGCTGCAGCGCCACCTGGTGGAAGACAAGAGTCCCAACGGAGGAGCGTCATATGCAGACTTCCTGTACCATCTCCACGTCAACTCTGTCCGTCTCCTGCTGTGATCCACACACACAAAAAGCCTGAATGCAGAATATCATGGTTTCGTTTTTATTGATAGAAGAATTATTGTAGTTTGAAAATATTAAGACTGTTCAGAGAAGTAGGATGTGCATGGAGATGTGCCCCTAAAATAATCACTTTTATCTATTTATTTATTTATTTATTCAAGAATGATGTGTTTATGTGAAGAGTTATAAAATGTGTTTTATTTTCTGAAATATATCTGTTGTTAATTTATCCATGTGTCAGAGATTCTCTAACCTCAGCTTCATATGTGTGAGAGAGAGAAAGTCCCTTCCTGTGGATTAAAAATAAAAAGAATGGAGATTTTAACTGAACTCTGACTCAAGTTTTCCCCGTTTTGCTCCCCAACATTGATGTAACGAACAGGGCAGCTGATGAAGATGTGACTCAGGAAGCTGAAAGGGCAATTGTCTAATCAGTCATAAGTGCCTAATAACACTAATTAACTGTGATTATGTTACTGCAGAAATGAACTGAACTATGTGGCTCAGTGAGCTGCGGCTCTTTAACCACTGAATTTCTTCATTGTGTTGCGGCGTGTTTAAGAGGCTGCGTGAAGTAATTTTATAGTAAGAAACATGTTTTAAGTACAAGCTGTAATGTAAATCTGTCAAAGATAATGTTCAACTGTAAAACCTTTACTCATTCAGCTCACTAGTAAAGCACTTACTCCGATGACTCACCTCACCATTATGCATCTTCCTACTCATGTTGGAAAAAGTCGTTTCTTCCTCTTAAGCAAATCTTTACTCGTTAAGTCATTAAAATGACTCATTAAAAGAAGTAAATTCTTACACTTTAAATTGCAGAAACTATGAAAAGTTTGAAGAAACGTAACAAATCCAGGCTTTATTTTCACTTACAGCTTTTTCTGTTGGAGATTCAAGATTTAAAAGTTTTTTTTAGACATGTTAATTTGTCATTTAAAATATTGGTTTTCATTTTATTTGCTCAATAGACATGAATAGTTCATCTAACAACTAAGCGAAAAAAGGAGCAGAAAGAAGGAAACACTTTTATCTGCTTCCTGTTTGCATAAAGAGAAAATTAGCTATTCAACTCAAGAGACTGTAACAGACAAATAAAGATAAAATATACACCAAACATCAGTTTATTCAATGCCACATCACGTCGTCATAATTAAGTGTCTTTTAAATGCAGAAAGAGATGCAGAATTTTCATCAAACATTGAAAAACGTGGTGAATGTAAAATTTAAAATGTTTGTAATAGAGAAAGTTACACAGCATTTTCAAGATTGAATGTTTTTTCTTCAATCTCCCAGATTTGCTAGAAACATTTAGAACTTATCAGACCAGTAATTATCTTAATAATACATGATACAAATGTAGTTTGCATCTACATATAGAGTAAATAGGAAGAATTTGTTCATGTATTCTGATTTTGCAAATGTAAACAATTTTACATGTCTATCATGCAGCGACTGTGAAACAATTTTAAACAGAACTGTATCTGGTCAACATTATGAGTCTTGTACACTAAAATTTATAGGTAACTCATTTCAGCACTGACATCCTTTGCTGTGATGAATCAATTATAGTTATTTCATTCATTCGTTAAGTAAACAGTTAAACATTAAACATGTCGTTTGTAAGGCAGGTTTTGAAGTCATAAACAAGCTCCCTCATATTTGCCCCTATTTGGAAATACGCACCATGCGGGAGGGAGGTGTGTTCGGTTACGTTGAGGCGCTGCGCCTGTGCGCAAAGTGTCCACCAGAGGGCGACATGGAGTCACCGCCTTCCCGTGGAGAAGCTGCAGCCTAATGAAGCGAGTCGCGTCAAGTCAGCCAGAGCGATCAGCGAAACACCGGAAAAAGACTTGACGCAATAAATAAACCACACTTGCGCCTTAAAGCATTAAGGCTTATGTTAGGCTTACATAACTCAGAGGTGAGTAGAGTAGTATTACTTCAACATATTTTTACACAAGTAAAAGTAAGAAGTAGCATTCCAAGAAATTACTCAAGCAAGAATAAAAATGTATTTAGTTAAAAAGCTACTCAAGTACTGAGTGACTGATCAAATAAATTAATATTTGGGCAAAAGAAACATTTTCAAATATTTTTTTTAATTAAAGTTTACATAAAATTAATCCCTATATGTCAGAACTGGGTAAAGTACTTCTAGGGACAATATATAGTGCTTATTATATCTTATAAATATCAGGATTATCTAGCAGGCTCAGTGGCTAGAAGATAACTAAACTGAATCTTTCAGGGTCTAGAAATTTAATTCTGATTCCGATTCCAATTTTTAGGTTCATGATTTGATTAAAAAATTATTTTTAATTCAGAAACCAATTCAAATGGTCTAAGTTAAGCTGATAAGAGGGAATGACAGTGACAGCAAATAAAACATTTATTTAAAACAGTTACATATTCTATTAAATTCCATCTGTTTTATATTTAAACAAAAATAGCTTTGTGCATAAAAATCTGTAGCTTAAATTCCCAGTATTAGGTCAGCTTAGCCCACCAGCTTTATCTTAAATAAAAAAATATCAAATAATTATTCAAAATATAATTTTACAAAAAAATTCAGCAGATTAAAATCTAATTTTGAGCATTTTTAGTCAATTGAAAATTCCCAGGACTTGGAATTGTGAAGGGACTTTTTTCTGCACCATAAGAGGTGTAAGGGTGTCTGTGTCTCATACATGTTTAATTTAAATATGCTTGTTCTTTCTTTATTGAAGTTACTTATTGGGATAAAGTATTCAGAAATCTTACTCAAGTAAGAGTAGCAAAAGTTCATAATAACTGTCCAGTAAAATTACTCAGAGGCACATTTCTTTCCTCCAAAACGTTACTCAGGTAAATGTAACTGAATAAATGTAATTACTTATGTGGATTTCCTATGTGCAAGATCAAAAAAATTCATTTTAATACCTTGTGAAAATAATAACCTTTAAGGATATATTAAAACTTATTTTCATTAAACCCAGGTTTCTATATTAGAAATGTTTTTCTTCTCAGAAATAAATGTCGTATTTGTAAGTCAAAGACATCATAATGCACAAATAAAAGCTTATTTGTGTATTAATATTTAATAAAAACTTCAGTCTATGGTTGATCAATTTCTATATTGTGTCTCACTTTGTGTATTGAGTTACTGAAATAAATTAAGATAACTTATAAATATTCTAATTTACTGAATGGAATGGAAATGTATGCATTAACGTATCCCATCCTAGATGAGATACTGATAGTCTTGCTCCAGTTTCTTTTTGTTTTTACAGCTAAAATTATTTAGAATGTGCTAAAAATATCAATGAAACAACAAAATAAATGTTGCATTTGCCTGTCTTTCTCTTAAATTAATTTTCCTAAATCCTTTATTCATTTAAAACTGTCAGACAAATCAGCTGAGACCAGTTAACACACATTTAGGCTTTATTACACGAACAAACTACATGTTTGCCTCGTGTGGACATCGTATTTTATTTTGAAAATCCAAAGCGGAAGTGGCCGTACTTGGCTCGCCCAGCTTTCCAAGCGGCTCCGTTGAGCGCGGTAGCTGTCAGATAGGGGAGTCAGTCTGACAGAGAAACACCCACACCGCCCGCTTCGTCTTTCTACAACCCCTCCGTCTCTCGGCGCCTGTTTATAGGCTTTTTCCACCGCTCCAACGGCCGGCTAGCTGCTGGGCGGACCCGCGTTGGTATTTTTTTTTATTTTTTTACACCGTTTTTTGCACGAACTGAGGGTAATTCTTTCGGAGTTGATTCAGGAGAAAGAAGCGAAAGAAACAGAGAGAGAGAGAGAGAGAGAGCGAGAGAAAGAGACAGGGGAGAGCCATGGCCACGACAACCTGTACGCGATTCACGGACGAGTATCAGCTGTACGAGGAGCTGGGGAAGTGAGTATCTGTGGTGTCAGCGTGTCTGAGTCGGTGGCACGGCTGTTTGCTGTGCAGGGAGGCTCGGACAGGCGGCAGCAGCAAGGCTGCAGAGCTGAAGCGGGCCAGCGGCTGTGTGTGTGTGTGTGTGTGTGCGCCCTTTTTCGGTATGTCAGCTTTCAAACTACTTTGCTCCCTGCCACACTCTCGAGTGTGATTTTGTATTGTTATTACAAATTAAATCCAATAAGTTTTGGCATATTTGTAGCACGCAGATTTTCTATTTATGGGTTTATTTCACAAGGGGGGAGCAGGGAAATTGTTGTGGTGAATACATTTCCACATGTGATGAGGCGAAAACTGCGGTTTGCAGAAAATGTTTTTCTAAGTTTGTGTGCCCTTCGCGCAGAGCGGGGATTTGTTGATATGCAGAAAAAAAGATCTGCTACAGCTGCAAGCATGGCGGTTTTTATGGCTTCTGTAATTATAGGGAATTTCTGTATAAATAATAAACCAATAAGAAAATGCATATGCTTTGGGAAGTTTTGAAGTTATTCTATTATTACTGCAGCTTTCATAGACCTCTGCTCGAGGGACAGATCTTTAAAAAAAGATTAATTTTTGTTGCAGTTAACACAAGCAAGGCATCATGGTATATCACCAAGTGTGAAGACTTGAAACAAAATTTTCTACTACTTTATCTGCCATCTAATTGTTTATTGGATGTTAATTTCCCTGCAACAGTGCTGTTGTATCTTATAACCCATTTTCCTAAAAGTCTGCACTAGTGTCAGACTGCAATCTGCACATAAGTAGGAAGCAAAACCTAAAGCATGAAATAGAAACAAAAAGTCAAAGTATTGCTAATTTCTCTAAAATTGAGCTTGAGTCAACCAAATAGTTTCAGAAAAGTTACAACATGTTCATGTTTGTCAACCTTTTCTACTTCCTGCAATTCCATATTTTGCTTTATTTGAGATTCAAGATGCTTAACATTTTATATCTGTGTTGAATTGCATTAAAGTTTTAGTGCTTTTTATTCCAGATCTCTGTTGTTGTTTTGAGACTTTAGCATTGCTTCTGGGTTTTACTTCACTTTGATCTTTCATTCAGTCTTCCACTTTCATCAGTCCATCTTTTTATTCCTGCGTCTGACATCTTTACTTGTTTCACTTTGAACAAATAAAATCAAGAAAAATATCAACAATAAATTTATAGTTTACCTTTTTACTGCAGTCCTACTGGAGCGCATGTGAGCTTAGCCTCCGCTTTATTATTTGCACTTCCTGCAGATAAATGGTTTAGTATTAGTAATCCACACGTGAGATCCACCCTGATTTTAAAAACTTTATGTTCAGTGATTTAATTCTTGCATCTAATTATTGAATAATAAAATAATTAGATGCATCCTTAATGCATGTGTATAACAATAACAACTACATCATCACTGCAAAGTACATGGTACTATTTAGCACAAGATGTCTTTAGTGGCAACACTAAATGGATCAGTGGACATTCCCAGATTGAAGCCATTTCTTATTAACTTGGCAATCGTCTTCAAAATCGTCTTAGTGGAAAAATTAATCGCTGTGATGAGGAAACCATTTTCTTTTGGCTTCAGACCAGAAAATTTTGCTCAGACTGAGATGTTTTTCTTTTGTTTTGTTTTGTTTTTTTCAGTGAGGATGACTTTCTATATGCCTCTCTGCCATAAAAACCTGATTAATGTTAATGAATAACCAATGATTACCTATATATATGTGTATAGTTTATCTTTCACCTTGATCCTTCTCTATTCTGGGATATTTTGTGTTGATTTCTTGTGCAGATTTTTAAAACAAAAGAAAACTATACTCACACAGGTCAGAAAATAGATCAGAAATGTAAAAATTTTGGGCAAAATTAAAGGAGCGTGAATATTGTTTATAGCATTGTAAATAATAATGTAAATAAATAATGTTTGGATATTATTTATTTTGATTCTGTGTTATTTTCAATAGAATACAGAATAATTTTTTTTACCTTATTATACCTGGATTTGCAGCAGGTGTATTAATTTAAAACAGGCAGTCTGCACACAGGCAGTCTGTGTGCAGACTGCCTGTGTCTGCACAGGCAGTCTGTGCAGGCTGCACAGACTGCCTAATTGTGTGTTTGCTTTATAGATTGTCAGTTTTTGTTGTTTATATTATTTATCTGCGGTTTTGCAACAGAAGACCTGAAAAAAATAATTGTAAGAACAAGAAAAGAGTCAGAAAAGACAAACAGGTTTAGTAATTTACTGTAATTGTTTGCTCAGATGTTGACTGTCTGCAGAGGGATGCATCTTAATAATGCTAAGTTTCAATGTACAATAGAATAACCTCTAAAATGAAAGAAATAAACAGAAAGAGAATGTAGGGTGTAGATTTAGTTTGGTATTATTTGATTGAAAACAAGGCAATCATTTAAAGTTTAAATTCTGAAATGTTCATGATGTTTTTGATGCCGTCAACGGCTGATGAAAATATATCTGCATATGGAAAAACAAGTTTATTTATGTTGCTTCGTTTGTACACAAGGTATGCAAAGGTGATTTATAGAAGCATGAAGAAAGATGTTTCCATCCCAAAATATCAACATTATTTGAACGCATGTAATTCATACTTGTAGAGCAAAAACGACTAAAGAAGTGCAGCAGTGCAGACTGTCCGTTGCACACCTAAAAGGCAACAGGAGCAGATGTTCAATGTCTCTGAAAGCTCCTAAAGTTGATCTCCTTCTAATGAAGACCAAAATTTAGGGCCAACAAGGTTAATGATTTTTAAATCATTTATTGAAACCTAATCTCAACACATTCCAGGAATGATTACATCTAAACATTTGGATTTTTCAAAATTTCTTTTAGTTAATTTGAAATAATGCTTCGGTTAATTGTTTGCTCCTTCATGCAGACATCTTTATGAATAAAATACACTCATACCATATTAAAAGCAGACAATATTTAAGCACAGCGACCATTGAAGATTGTCTAATATCTGCATAATTCAGGTGCTGCCGCTGCTGACGTTTCAGTCCAGGCTTTGGGTCTTGTAAAAGCAAGCAATGATTATATCTGAGAATCTGGAGGGCACATATGGCTGAAGGGGGTTGGTTGGATATATGCTGCAGTTTATCCAGGGAGAGCTTTAAATTCAGCAGTAAAATGTTAGGTTCTGTATAAACTGCAGCCATAAAAGGCAGGTCTGACTCTCACCAATAGTTTCAATGATCAATCTGGGATCTTAGAATAGTGTGGCTCAGCCTTTCAAAATCCCACCGAGTTAAAACAAAAGCTTTACCTTCATTTAAAGCTTTAGCTTGTAAAAGGTTTCCTGGAATAGTGAATAGTTTCTCGAAGTCAAAATGAGAACCAAGCATGACTCTCTAGCCTTTAATGTGGCTAAGAGGCTGAAACCTACCCAGATTTATATGGCAAGATGCAATTAGCACTGAAAAATGTGCTTCTGGAGTAATTTGATCTTCATCATCTGCATGAAGAGATTTCCTAAAAATGGGTCCTTAGGGGAGCATGCTAATGGAGAATAAAACTGGCCTGAGAACAGAACCTTGGGGAACTCCACCCTGAAACCTGCTGCTAGTAAGGTAGACCTTAAAATATTAAGATGTTAGGCTATATCAAAGGCAGCTTTACAGCCCAAAACAAGAATAATTGATGATATTTTCAGGAGAATCTGTGACCGAAAAATACTTTTACATAAAATAATCTAGTTATATTTAAACGTAGTCCAGGAGAAAAACACAAAAAGTATTTTCTCTCTGAATTCATGTTAATGTTGATGTGTTTTTGAGTAATTTTGAACATCATAATTAGTTGACAGGTGAATTAGTAACACTTGTAGATTTTCATTTTTTATGCCAGTGTTAATCTAAGCTTGTTTTTGTTATAAATGTTTCAGACTCACGTCAGGCGTCTGGTATGCCCCACAGAGATGATATCTTAGTTATTTTTCTTGTCATTTGACAAGCATAAATAGTTTTGTCCACCAGTGTGACTCCACACACACCACCTGGGGATAATAACACGTTCTCTGCTGCAAAGCTTGCTCCTCTCCCAGGAGCAATAACTCTGGCTGCTGGGAATGTTTCTTATTCTTCAGGTTTGGCTCTTGAATAAAAAGAAAAGAAAATATAACCTATTAGTCGGGCTTTGATCTTGTGTGAGTGACACTAATCCTGCTCTACAAGTCGTCTTTGTCAAATGATTATAATTACCCATCCATCTCAGAGGAGGGAGTTCAGGTGTAAGTGGCTTGGCCTTGAGATAATAATGCTATCCATGACTCTGTAATACTAATACCAAGGATCTGAGGAGGGATAATTATTGTGCTCTCACTTTTGGCTGCTGTTCCTTCCTATGTGGGACTTGTGACATTTAAGCTTCGTGACTTTGTTCGCCTATTACAGATAATATCAGCCTTGGCTGTCTACAAGCAGTTCTTCTTTTACACAAATTGGCATAAACAAACTCCTAAAACAGTTCCTAGAAAGCACGTTCTTTGATCTTTTCTGTGCCGTGGCGTTCATTATAAGTTTTTACAGTGAATTCTGCAGCTAATATAACGCATTTTCACTTTAAAATAACACTGGTTATCAATTAGACTTTGGCAAACAGCTGTTATTGTGAAATATTTGTGCGCTGCTCTGCTGGTGGTTTTTCTTCGATAAAAAGTAGATTTTTATCTCGGTCATATTTGAAGCTTTGGTGTACAGATTTACATGTTGTGCACTTTGCAATTAGAGATTTTCCGACCAAGATTTTCCATTCTGAGGATGATGACACGCAGGTTCTTGTTTTATATTTCAAGAACAAAATAAGAAATTACTAATTATCCCAATTTGCGTACCTGTTTTGTTAATTTCTGATTTTCACTGCTTGTTTTTATTTACCATTATGCACTTTGTTGCCTTTTTTTTAACGTGCTACCTAAATAAAATTGACATATACTAGGGTGGCAATAACACAACAAAAAATTACACTGTGCACAAGTAAGTCACATTTTTAAGGATTATTTTTAATAATCACTACCTACATCAGTTTCAGTTGATCCAAAAATGTTAATAAACCTCGTACAAGGATGTTTAAGAAAATAAATGTCATTTTGGGATTTTTAGCAGAATATCTAAATGGGCGCGATTATTGAACAACTATTATTCTATCATTTGTCTTTAATTTTCATCGTTTAAGTGAGAGTCAAAAACAAAAATCTCCACACGTTCCAATAAACATTTCATGTGATAAGTTTTTTGTTTTTAATGGCTAGCCACAACTTGGATGCATAAAAACCATCATCTTTCTGAAAGATGTTGACTTTTTCCTGCAACTCTGTTTGAAGAAAATGTCTTTTAAAACATGGGAGTTGATTAGGAGCCCATCTCCAACCCAAAAAAGTCTAACCAGGTCACCTTTAATAATACCAGTGCATACCAGTACCCCACTTTCACCTTGCTGGTGTCCATCTGGTGCTTCTCCCTCTCATTTCATCAGTCCATAAAACCTTTGAAAAATCTGTCTTCAGGTATTTCTTGGCCCAGTCTGGTCAGTTCAGCTTGTGTGTCTTGATCAGTGGTGGTCAGGTTTCAGCCTTCCTCACCGTGGCCATGTCTCTGCGCTCTGGACAACTTGTACTTTTAGGCACTCCAGGTAGGCTGCAGTTACGGAAAATGGTTTCCAGGAAGATAATGGCTTCCTGGTAGCATCAAACCCAGTTCATTTATGTTTTTTTTTTTTCCTCTCATCACGTTTCTTGCCACCCAGTTGACTATTTGCAACAAAATGTTTGGCAGTTCTGTGATCATGCCCCCAAATCTAAGCAATTTCAGGATTCCTCTGAGAGACTTTTGGTAATTTTTGACTAAATTTGACCAATCTTTTTGCTTAAATCCATTAAGCGTTCAAGTTTGTTCATCTTGGAGTTGGAAAATATGTCTAAAACATACAAGGTCGAAATACTCATGTCATACTAAATATTTGTGCACACAGCAGAACGCTATCAGAGGAGAATATAGATGATTAATGGAAAAATGTTCAACTCTTTCAATCTTTCTGATTGATTGGCCCATCTCTATTTGTGATTCACCAACCATTGATCTCTGAAGGCATATGTTTGTTCCTTAACATACAGATCTGAGGTTACGTCTGTTGAGTTTGTCCCTGGAGTCAAAATAAGACCTGATTCATTACCTTTTTTCTATATTGTGGAAATACTTATGATACATATTACAGACAATAGAAAACTGCTTGATCAGTATGGATAATTACTGCAAAATATAAGTAATTGTAATACTGTTTGTCTTTGAAAAAAATTTTTTTTGCACTGTTATGATTAATTTTAATGATGCTCTAAAACCTCAGAAACCAGTGGTTTAGGTTGTTGGTTTGCAGTTTGAGCTATTTTTTTTTCTTTGTTGGTTTTCTGCAAGTGTTATCAGTAAAGATGATGCATGATTGGATGTAGTTATTTGCTGTCTTTGAGTGCAATTGCATTTCTTATGGTAGTTATGAAGTAGCACATTTAATACAGTTTTGTAATAATTGTAATATTTGATGTATCACAAATAATTGTAATAATTATTATTGTAATAATTGTAATTGTAATAATTATTATTGTAATAATTGTAATTGTAATAATTATTCATGTTCTTTTCAATACTATTTTGTTTAGCTGCACAGTTATTGAAGAACTGTTTAATCCAAAGCGGTTTATTGGATTAAACCGCTTTAATCCAATAAAGCGGTTATTGGACACATAATAATAACTATTATTATGTGTTTGTAATAATAGTTGATGCTGTCTGACAGAAGACTTTCAGTCCTCTGCTTTGCCTGGTCTGAGTTTCAGTCCATCTGGTCCCACAGCTTTCACCTTTGACCTTGTTGGTCTGGAAGTGAAACCCAGTGTCACAGTTCAACCTTTCACTGTCAACACCCACTGGAAGCCAGACCGGCCAGATTGATCTGAGCCGGCCGAGGCTGAGAAGTTATTTAGAGACTTGAGAGTTTGCTGTGCAGCTTTTAGTACAACGCAGCTCATATTCAGCATTTTTAAATTATTCTATATGACTAAATGCATATTAAATCACATATTCTGCAGAAATAGGCTGTCTGAACACATCAAATATTACGTTTGAGTTGTTTGCTCTTTTGTTTGCTCTTATAGCTTCACAGTAGAAGTGTTTGTTTCTTTTGCTGTACGTCTCACCATCCACATGTGAGCACATTATCTAGAACATGCTGACTGGCTCTGAGGCTCCTCATGGGAGCTTATTAAGCAGATAAGTCTGGACAGCTTGGTCTTTAAATGTAGCTTTCCACGGTTACATTTGAGGAATATTAAGTCTGCTTGTAGCTGCAGTAAATCATCCGTCGTGTGTATTAACATGAGTATTCTTAGCAAAAACTGGAGTCATTATGCCAGCTAAGGCTCTGAAGAAGTTGCATGTAAGCAAAAGTTTGATAAACAGTGGAGATTTTCTGATGGACATAAATATATTATGAGCTGTTGATAAAAATCTGAAAATATCTTCCTTAAATTAATAAGAATATATTTTGTTTGTTGTTTGCAGGGGAGCGTTTTCAGTGGTGCGCAGATGTGTGAAGCTGTCGACAGGGCAGGAGTATGCCGCTAAAATAATCAACACCAAAAAGTTATCTGCAAGAGGTAAGAACTTATTTCAGTGTTTAATTCGACATGTAATCCCTGGATGTTATTATGCAGTCAGAACACGATGCATTCTGGAGTTGGGATTTTCCTGGTGCTAAATGTAGAGGCTGCATGAAGTCCACAGCTCTGGTGTAGCTCTGAAAGCTCTGCAGTCACAGCCAGTAATGAGAGAGAAAAGGACTCACAAGTTAACAGCTCAAGAAGATTGTGGTAGAAAAGTTGTGTGAAAAGAAAACGACTTACTTTGTCCCAAAAAGCTTCACAAACCTTAAAAACGTCCCATAATCTGTGGCTGGTGCCCCAGATTTCTTCCTGTTCTCTGAAGTTTTTCTTTAGTCTCTTACTAAAGTTATTTTTTTATGGATTGACTCAGTTTAAACACCGTGGTAGTTAATTATTCAAATGGCAAAATGCCACTCAACTGTCTGTAACCTGTGGATAATTTCTGTGAGTAAACTGCACTAGATGCTGATTGCTGCCAGTTTCTATGGGACCAGGGCGCCTCGCTGTTCGAATACTAGAAACTTTAGTTCCTGAATACTGGATGTAATATGTATAAATAAGTCCAGGAGTAAAAATGGATGCATATTCTAAGTCTAAACAAAAAACATTTCATTATGTTTTCTTCATTAAAGGTCTGCAATACATTCCAAGAGATCAAACAAAGTAAGGATTTAATCATTTATAGACTGAAATCCTGCCTAAAGGTTAGATTTCAGATTGTTTTTTAAATCATTTTGACCATGCCTCCATTTTGAAATGGTCTTTTACGAGCTCTAAAGCAATATTTTTAGAAACATTGTTGTTGAACTGTTTGGAATATTAACAGGAAAGACGTTGAGGAACCCTGGTTGTGTTTTCCTTTGATAAGGAATATGTAACTTTTTGAAAACAATGATTTTGTAGCCCCACTCCTAACAAAACCCTGAAGCTTTACTTCAGCTTGATACTCCACATCTACTTCTCTGTTGTATTTATGTGGTTGTTTTACAATTATCAAATATAGGCTGTAGTTACATTTTGGGTCGGTTTTGATGTTGCTGGTCTGCATGGAGGCATTTCTAGAATTGATGATGTATTGATTGTGAGCATCCTATCTCTTAGTAGCGATACTATAAAGATATTAATGCTCTCTTTTTTGTGTTTTCCATGAAAAACATAATTCTTCACACCCAGTGTTTTACTGTATATTAATAGGATATTGCTCACATTAAACAGGCATAAAGTCCTACTTGTAAAAGACGCTGTACTCAGGCAGCAAAGCCTGGTTTAGGCAGCACTGTGACTCAAACCCGTCCTGCTCCGCGGCGGTCACTGTCGTTCCTCACACCAACACTCGCCCGGTGTAAATCTCCTGCTGCCTCTGCAGCTCGCAACCGGAGACCCAGAGCCATGGCTGTGCCAGGTGGCACTCCACTGACAATACACACACACACACACACACACACACACACACACACACACACGCACACACAAGCACAAATGTCTTGTGCATGTGTGTAAATGTAGAGTGTGGTCAGAGGCATTTTAACAGGGGTTGAATGTCTGCTCATATCTGTTTGTGTCTGTCAGTTAACCTTTTACTGTGGGTATTAATTTCCTCTGGAAACAATTGCTCAGATGTCATTAAATCCACGCAGACAGATTTATGAAAGTACTCTCTGATAACAGTGGTAATGCACCACAGAGGTGAGGCTGTCAGGGATAATTGTTAAAAATTCAAAAGATCAGACTACTTACACCATAAAGTAATACGTTTCTCACCTTTAGCATGCTAACGCTAATAAGCTTTGTAATGTTAATGTTTAAAGCAAATTAATGCAGTTTCTGAAGCAGAGTTTATGTATTTAAAGCCCCAGAAAACAGAAGAAACTTAAGATAATTTATGAATATTAATGGAAATCAAAGATGTTTTTTTTTGTTTTAAGCTCTTAGGAGAGAGATTTTCAGAATTGTTCCAAGGGGTGCAGATGGTTGATTTGTAGATTTTTTTATTATTATTTTTTGGATTAACTGATTAAAAATTGGTGAGCAAAAGGTACTTGATATGAATTTTTTTTTTTACTGAATTTGAAGCAGATGAAGCTGAAACTGCTATTTCAGTTTTGGGTAAAACAAATTTACAGACAGAGGTTTTCTTTTTTTTATCTTAAATGCTAAAGCTATATTTTTTTTCTCCAGTTTTGGCTTAATTGCTGCTCTGAATATGTTGTTTCATTTTTTTGAGTCTATAAATTCCAGTTAACAATGACTAAATTTGTTAACAATTATTAGAATAATTCATTCATCACAATTAATCCGATTAATTGTTTCAGCCCTAGATACAAGCCATATCAAATCAGTTCATCTCCACTAACACACACAGTGTGACATCAGCTTTTCTCCAGCAATAAATGACTGATGACTATATATACAGCTTTGGAAGAAAATTTGGAGACCACTTAAAATGATCATTTTCTCTGATTTTACTTCTTATATGTATATGTTTGAGTAAAATGAACATTGTTGTTTTATTCTATGAACTATAGATAATGAGAAATGGTGAAAATAACAACAAAGATGCAGTGCTTTCAGACCTCAAATAATGCAAAGAAAACACGTTCTTATTAATTTAGAAACACCAAATACTAATGTTTCAACTCAGGAAGTGACCAGAAATCAATATTTGGTTTGAAGGTTTCAATGGGGTCAGTGCAGTGGTGTCTTAATTTTTTCCAGAGCTGTATATGTCAGAAAGGCTTGAACATAGAAACTCAGAGTGCTGTTAATTATAGTTTATAGAGAAATCGGACCTTTCCAAAGAAAACAATAATCGACCGTAAATCTCTGACCGGTTCATCTCCACTAACTGGAGGTCTATGTTTCCTCCTCAGCTGTTTTATGAAAGGCTGCAGCTGCTTGCAGATTTCTGAGGTACGGCATAATCTTCCTGCTTTAAGATTTGATGATCCGAGCCGACTGAACGGCGTGCGCGGCCTGCACTGCGCTCTTTACTAATGGATGAGCCATGTTCTCTGAAACAGCAGAGCAATGCTTGAGCCGCTGCATACGACTTCTACTCCAGCGCTAATAATAGCTCCATGACCCATCTGACATGGGCTGCAGCAGCAGCCAGGTTTTATGGCGATCTCCATGACTTACTGCTCTGCTTCACAAGTGAGATTTTCGCTGCTGATGTATTTCTCAGAAAGCAGGTAGGGTCAGAGGGTTTAAAGCGCCAGCCGAGGCCGCTTAGGAGGAGCGTTTGCTTGGGACGGGCAGATGGAGATGGGAGCTGCAGGGAGGCCGGGGGGTCATGGCAGAGAAGGCACCCCAGGCACTTGGCAGCTGAGGGCCATGCGCCTGTGCGCCTGCATGCCTTTTAGCACGGGACTCTCATCTGACTCTGCCTCTCTTTCACTCTGGCACACACATTCATGGTCATTCTGACAGTGAACTCTGTTTATTTACTGCAGTCACAGTGACTCACCCCCTTAAAAATCCCGATATCAGGCATCTGGGAATGGATGACTAAATGTTATTTGTGTGTTAACCCAAACACCCTGCTTGACTTCAGCCTTGCTTCTGTCCCGTATTGCAGACGGCAAGCGGCTAATGTCAATCCAGCTCATGTCAACAGGAAATATAGGGCAGGTCTGCTGGGCAAGGCTTCCAGCCAATCATAGCACTTGTTTATTGGCAGCGATCTGTGGACGACGGATGCCAGAGGTTCCTGTATGGCCTTGTAACATATCATGGTAGAGTGGATGTGTGTGTGCGTCTATATATATATGTGTGCGTGTGCACATGTGAGGTGTTTATTTTGTCTGAGACTCACCTGCAGCAGCAGCAGCAGAGAGCTGACCTGATTTCTGTCCCGGTTCTTTTGTGTCAATGTCAGATAAGTCGTGCGGAGGTACTTAAGTGAAGGCCTATTACATGTAAGGCTATTATAAAGTCAAATCACTCTGCTTATAATTACAAATGCCAGTAGAGCCTGTTTTATTTATAATACAGCCACAAGTTCAGCAGATTAGTTTGATTACACCAAACATTTTAACCCTTCATACTGATTTTTCTTTTCTGACGGAAATGATTCCTAAAAGATGATGGCTCACCGCAAATGTCACTGTTTTTAAAGTTCCCCTCTTAACTTTATTTGATGCTAACTTTTATAAGTTGCATAGAATAATTTGTTGCAAGTTGAAATGAGGACCGTAGGTAACGATCATCTTCGTAATCGATTATTCTGATGATTTATCGAGTGATCAGAAAAATGGCACATTTTGTAGATTTTTCATTTAACCTCTTAAGCTTATTTTATGCAAAATTAAGAATTATGTAAAAATAGACATCAACAAATAACTCTGTTAGTTTTTCTAAATAAGGAAATAAACATTTTATTCCGTAAAATGCAATAATGCTTTGTTTACACAGATTTCCTGATCCACTTTATTCATGGTTTTGGTTCTAGTTTTAATTATTGTTTTGATTCTTATGTTTCATTTTGCATATTTAAACTGTCTTTCAGTTTCAGTGTGGAGTGTTTTTTACAAAATTAAAGTTTATTGGTCAACTTGTATTACTGGAACATTTTATTGTCCAGCAAAATTTATTGTGACTGTCGATGTGAAAAATGTTAATTGGTGTGAATACTTTTGCTAAAAACCAGTTTTCCAGTGTCTACATTCCTTTAGTATTTTTAGGAAATGAGAAAAAAAGTGAGATTTAAACTCCATATTTCCCATCTGCAGTGAGCCATGCTGATCTTGTAAGTCAAATATTCTTGATCAGTGGTTATATGAGCTTCTCTTTGTGGATGTTTCCTCTTCTCCTGAGACGCCAGCGATGATTAACCCAAATGTATTCCTCTCCTCATCGCTTCCTCTCTTCTTCTCCAGCACGACGTCTCCTGCAGACTCTGCTGCATGCTGTCCTTGGGTTATCTCACTCTGCGCTTGTGTTCCTGTTTGCCACATATCTCCTCCTGCTTGTTCCTTCTCACCACTTCCTCTCTCATCCCCCTCCAGGACCGGTCCTCACCATCCTTCCTTTCTCCGTTATCTTTCTGCTCATTTCTTATTTACCCCACTGCTTCAGAGAGCGACAGCGTTTGGCTGACCGACAGCTTTAAAGAGAGGGGTTAAATGAATATTTGAAGCAGAGTGTAGTACCAGGGCTGCGCTACTTTTCCACAGTTGACTGTACACTCCTTACAGTCAGAGCAACGGCAAAATGAAAGCTCTGATTTAGATTCAAACTTCTTATACAGTGAAACAGAAATATAATATATTTGTTTGCCTTATTTTTCAAACTTTTAGCTGCACTAAAACATGGAAACGTTTTAGTAATAAAATAACTATTTACTACATTCTTACATTTTTTGATTTTAATGTTTTTTTGTGTGTTTCTTTATCTCCCTTTCCTTTCTTAAAAAGAAAGAACACATTTTTATTTCATTCATCTGTTGTAGGAGTTAAATTAATTTCAGAGTCCAAATAAAGACAAGCTGTCAAACATGCTTGTTAAACAATAGGCCCGTTTTAGAGCTTTGCCACTAAAATTTGGCCGATCTCCGATCTTCCAAAATTAAGAAAATCGGCATCAATAAATTGGCCAATAAATCAGTGATCCCCTTCTCTGAACTACAGCGGCCCAAAGAGTACATTGATGGAAAAAAAAACCCAATTTACCAAAAATTAAATCTTTATAATCAGAAAATTTAATTAATTAATAAAATCGATTTACTGCCCAGCCCAGAAGAGAATACGCAAAAGTTGGCTGTACACAAATATTTTTAATTAATGTATTTTTGTTTCATTCTGATTAATCCTGTAGCCTTAACTCACATAATTCCATTTGCATTTCATAAGAACTTTTTTTTTTCTAAATGAAATTTCTTTCTTGGTGTTTCTCAACATAATTATTTTGTTTCATTGCAATACCGAACAACCCGCAGAGTGGTGTGCAGCCAGGTAGTTACGGACCTCTGTTTTATTTACAACTGAAAGTCCATCATCTACTAATTTAATGGTCTAAAATCCTTTAAAAATGTAATACTTTTTGGTATTTCGATTCCAAAAGAAGATAGTTTTTTTTACTCAATCTTCACTTCCACTCGTGCCCAGGAAATGTTGATACTGCATGAAATATTTTACTTCTATAAATAAAACAGAAAATTCTATATAATTCACTTCAAAAGTACTTTATTTATCTCCAAGGAACTCAGTTGGCAATTGGCAAACACTGCTAATCCACTGAGTTTTAGAGCTCAACTCTGAACCTTTTCATTGTTTTCGTCAACCGTAATCTCCCCAGTTTGTTTTTTCATGAAGCTGATCTATCGATATACTGAGAAATGTGGGGCAGGAAGTTCATCCTTCAGACATGAATGTTGTTTTTTCTGAGCCAGCCAGCTTCATAAACAACCTGAAACCCATTTTCATCCTGGTCTGAAATGAGTGGGTGCTCATTTTCAGGTTCTGCCTCTTTGTTTGGTGATAATATAATAATGAAGGAGAGAAAGAGCAGAAGAAGATGAAGCACAATTTTCCCATCCCATCAGCTTTTTTCCATTTATCTGACAATAACAAAAATATTTATAGAACTAAACCAGAGGTTTGTGTAGGACGTGTGACGGTTCAGATCATTACTAATGAAAGCAGTTTCGGTTTCTAAGTTACATGTACAGGGTTAATTTCCTCTCCAGTGTTTAGTGATGCCTTCCTGTAGAGTAGAGGTGTCCAAAATACTCACCAAAAGTACTAGCGAAAAAAAATAAAAATAAAATAAATAAATAAAAAATATTAAAATTATGAAAAATGTTTTCTGTTTTTTACCTACTCATCAATAAACCAAACATGAACTATTTTAATTAAACAAATAATCAGATTTTTTTGTAGGAACGGGATTAAAGATCCTAAACTTCAAATGGTGTTTCCTTGTCAAATGAAAGGCATCCAATTTGTTTATTACTCAGGGCTCGATTGAAGACAAAATATTTAGTCTGTCAATAAATACAGGCTCAGGATCAGTCTCCATTTGAAAACACTTACTGTATTTAGCCAAGTTTTAATACAACAATTAAAAGCATATTGGTGCATCCAGGTGTCCTTTTGACTACTTAGTTTGTCTAGAAAGTCCGGTTCATTTGGGGGTGGTGTGAATGCACCAAGAGTTCAATCACACAGACCAAAATAACGAACGGTTTTGTTTTGGTTTGGTTTAAGTGATTTCTGGTGTAACTTGAATTATGAATTCCAGGCAGACCAGAGACCACTCCAAAGCAGGAAGTGGACTAAAGCAAAGGGTATTCTGGGTAAACGCAACCAAAACGAACACAAAAGTCTAACAGTAGAGGGAGAAATGGCTTGTGGTCTTTTACCAAAAACAAAGGAACAAGCTCTACAATCTGACGCCACTTATTTTTTTACATTTCAGCAAAAGTTGTTTTCTTCAGTGTCTTCTAAGGTTTTCGTGTTGTTTCTGTCTGTGGTTCTTGGTGCAGCGCCACCACAGGCGAGGAGCGGGACAAGTTTTTCAAATGTTTTTTTTTTTTTTGTTTGACGGAGTGCAGAGGGAAAGCAGCAGCAGAAAATGTAACAAATGTTGCAATTTTGGTCCCCAATCGAACAGTCTACCAGACTATCAGGTGTGAAAACACTCTAGTCAATTAATAGATGTGCTCCTATTTACCATGAAAGCAGAAGAAAAGCAGAAAGTTGGAAAAATATTTTTGTAAGTAGATTTAGATGTAAATTTTTGCCTGGATTTATTCTTGAATTGAGGTCGTGGGCTCCTCTTCGGTTGCTCTTTGAACACCCCTGCTATGGATTATAAATAACAAAAGCTCAGGTATGTCGACAGATGGACTAAACCTCGATGAACGGAGACAACAACTCTGGGCCATTTCTGTTCTCGTATTATCAGCAGATGCCACCAACAGACTGAAACCCGATCCTGGCCCGTTTGATGTTTTTTCCACCATTTGGCATCGTAACATATCAAGGACGGTTCAGCAGAAACACGAGTTTAGGCGGAATGGCCATTTAGACAAAGCAAACAATAACCTCACCTGGAGACTAGAAAAAAGCAGCTTGATTTACAGAGAGATAAATAGAAAATCATGCTTTGTTTGTTTCACTGGTTCCTCAAACCGAAGAGTCAGAGGAAGAAAACAAGCAGCAGCAGACGCAGCGATTAGCATTGTTTTAATCTTTCAACAGAAAGATGGCACACGCAGGCTTAATTGTTCTTCCTCCTCCCACCTCCTCTGTCCCTCTTCAACACTCCCCCACTCCTTTCTCCAACTGGCTTAGCTCGTCTTCTAAGACTGTAATCACTGGGCTTACACGCACTGTCACTCCTCTTTACCCATGGAAATGTGTCTGCTCGTGTTTTTCTAAGCTATTCCTGTCACAGGTTGTACTATACTGTTTCCAACAACAGCATGTATTTATTTTCATCAGTTGTTTGAGTGTTGGTGTTTACAAGGATCCACTTCTTCTTGGGTTTTTCTGTTTGTGGGCATGTTTGGTCCGATCGTCGCATTCTGAAATGATAAAATACTTAAACCAGAAATAGCATCTGATTTCATCACAAAGAAGCAAAGCAGCCCAGGTGCTCCAATGTGTGTGTTAGATCTGTTTTGCTCTAAACTCCAAAGGATTTTCGGGTATCAGAAAAAAGCCAAATCAAGGTTGTGGTGCCGCTTTGTGCTGCACTGTGGCTGATTACAGTATTATATTGATCTGATCTTCATCTTCGTATGCAGAGCTCCTTATTTCAGCCTTAAGCTCAGGATCAAATCACTTCTTTATCAGCAAGTATCATTGTCTCAGCCACACCTATGTCCAGTTTACGTCAATAAGTAAAACCTTTTAATTGATGTTTGCAGAGTCTTCAAAACACAGTTTATGTTTCAGTAAAACTTCATTTTACTGGTGGAAACTCAAAAACTGAAAAATTGCATCTTCAAAAAGGACAGTGTCGATGTCTTTATTCTTATTTTTTAATAATTTGTACTACATTGCATGACAGAGTATTCAGACCATTGCAGCTACATGAAAAAATGAAACAATGTGGCCATGGAGGAGTAAATTTTTGTTATTAAAACTCACAAGTTTCTAGATTAATTTCACCTATTTATGAGACAAAGTGTGGATATTCTCTAATGTCAAAAAGTCATTTTTTCCATGATTAAAGGCATACATTTACAGATATTTAAACTAAAATATTATTTGACATTATAAAATCAGATATTTGTGACACAAATTCCAGAAGAGAAAATATCCAGATGTTGATCTACGACTTCTGACATTTATGTGGCAAACATCAGACTTTAGTTTACTAGTTTAAGATAAGAAAAAAATCTAAATAATTCAAATAAAAATTCATCTATGAAGCCTATTGTGATTGAACAAATTAAGCAAAATGTACCGTTTTTGTGTTTTTTGTTTTTTTTTACATATGCTGCATTTTCTCACTGTGCTTCACCTGACTAGTTGCTACTTCAACACTTTCTTTTTGTATCAGATAAAGTAAAATTTCACACACATCAAACCCTGACGCAGACATCCGTCTGCAGTAGATTTTGCTCTTTGTGTTTCATTTCTTAATAATTGTTTCTGTGCTGTTTTGCAGATCACCAGAAGTTGGAGCGAGAGGCTCGGATCTGTCGCCTTTTGAAACACCCCAACATTGGTGAGGAACTCGTTCGGTTTTAGTCCTTCTAACACCAACACAGTGAATTATAAAATACTTTTGAGCAACTTTATCAATTTTTCTCAATTTATATCTAATTCATAGTTAGGTTGCAACCAACAAATATTTTAGTAATTGATTAATCTGTCAGTTACTGTAACAATTAATTGGATAAAAATGTGTACACTCTGCAAATTTTTCACTAAGCTAATTAAATCTATCTTTCTATACAATATTATAAATATATTAGATATTTGAAGTAAATAATTAACTTTCTTTTTAAACTAAAAAATGCTTTAACGTAGCATTCCTTTGGTGAATTGGACTGGGTGAAGGAAAAAAGATGCCACTTCGGGAGTTTTGGGTAAAACATTGACAGATAAAGGTTTTTTGTGCAGATTGGGTGCAATTACTGCACTGACTGTTGTTTTGCAGCAAATTGCCTTATTTGAGTTTTTATACTCCAGTTAACAGTTAATCAATTACTAAATTAGTCATTTGAAATCTAATTCATTGTTTCATCCCTAATTTATATTAATAATTCTTATTCCCCTCAAAGTATTCACACAGTTTACTCAAAATGGAGCAATGTTGATGCTGGATTTTATATTTTAAATGAAATATAACAGTGCAGTACATTCTCCTGTTGCTTAAATGTATAATTTTAATTGCAGAACCTCTTGCTGTAATGTAAATACATGACATAAGGCTCTATTATTATGACTCCCTGTGGTTTCGTTCCCTCACACGCTCTCCCTGCTGCTTTTTTACGCTCCTTTAATCTCTCACTTAAAATGCACCAGTGATGCTTTTTCAGAGGCAGTTAGAAAAAGCATTGAATTAATCGTTACGGCAAAATAAATGTACAATGACTGTACTAAACGTTTATTCCTCAATTCTCTTACAGTTCGTCTTCACGACAGTATATCAGAGGAGGGTTTCCACTACCTCCTGTTTGACTTGTAAGTCATCCTTCCTCTCTTTTACACACATGCTTCATCATCTTCTTCCTCCTCTCCCTCGGTTCCTGCACCCTCTGTGCATATATAGCATTGCATAACTCTCTCCTATATTTACCCCATCCCTGTCACCACCGCCACCCACACCCTCCGCATCCATCTCTCAGCAATTCCCTCTAGTTTCCATGGCAACGGTGTGGGAAGAAGGGCGGAGGGGAGATTTTAGGGGGAAATGGGGTGAGCCACAAATAAACCAAAAAGTGGTGATGAAATCCTTGTTTTTGGATTTCTTTGTGTTTCTTATTTCTGTTGTTCTTTCCTGGAATGTTGTAAACCCAACGACACTGGAGCGTCTTAACGTTGAATAAATGTGTTTTTGTTGTTGCAGGGTGACCGGAGGTGAACTGTTTGAGGACATCGTAGCCAGAGAGTACTACAGCGAGGCGGACGCCAGGTAGGACCGCGGCCTTCGTCTCTCTGCGTCCTCATCTTCAAAACGTTCCCAGTCTGTTGTCGTCTTGTCTGTGGTTTTCTATGTACTTCTTTATTCCTCTCAATTTCCTCTCCTTTTCCTTTAGTTTCTGCTCCTTGTCATCTTGTCTCACCCCGTGTTTTCAGCTTCATGAATCATGTAGACGTGTTATTTTTCCATCTTTCTTTTCTTGCAATTCTTGTTAGTTTTTCTTGCTTTTTTTGACTGGTCAAAAAGCTGTTTTCTTTTCTCTCTTTCTTACTCTAACTACTGCAGTTCCTTGCAAAAGTATCTGCACCTCACGACCACATTCTGGCAAATTTCAACCCAAAACTTTAGTGTGTTTTATTGTAACAAAGTAGTGCATGATTTGAAGTGTAGGGAAACGAATACTCGGTTTTCAAAAGGTTTAACAAATATAATCAGTGTGGCGTCTACTCGTACTCAGCTCTCCTATGTCGATACTTTGTAGAAGCACAATTTGCTGCAAGAGGTTACGTCTCTACAAGCTTTGCTGATCTAGAAAGAGTTTTATTTTCATCATTTCAAATCATCACATCTGTCCCTGCTGAAGTCTGCATGATGTGCAGTGCTAGTTTTCTGCAAAGTTTAGCACTTATTCAAAAATCTTTTGTTTTTTTCTCATCTGATCAGGTCATCGCATGATAGGGATGGGAATTTATCGCACCGTTTATCATTATTGTGATAAATTTCTTACCTCTAAATACATTCTAATTAATGTTGTTCAAAGCCTCCCAAAACTGTTTATAAAATATTTTGAAAACCGTGCACAATTTCCTCCATTTTCTAGTCATGCACTATATAAAATCCTAACAAAATACATTAAAGTTTGTAGTATTAATGCAACAAAAAGAGGAAAAATGTTCACTGGGGACGAATACTTTTGCCAGTCGCTGTAATTTTGCTGTCAGTTATCTTTTATCTTTGCTCTTTTCTTTTCACCATTCTTCCCTTTTCCTTTGCTTTCTCCATTGCACTACTTGCCCTCACCTCTCACAGACACATCACGCACCTTTAAGACCCAACTTAGGTTTGACCAATCACACTTTTCAGCATAATAAACATCTGTTTTTACAGATTCAACACTAAGTTAGTCTGTTGGAGATAAATATGGACTCTGTTATATTGCAAATTGCAGCATTCTAATTTGTAGGCTATTAAAAATGACATATTTGTGATTTCCATGCAGAGGTCATCCCAAGGTTCTTGCTAAAACAGTAATTAGATGCTTTGAAAGCTGTGAACATCAGCATTTTCACCGTTTATTAACTAAAAATAACTGGAACCACCATAACTGTGTGTCTTAATTAGCTTTCTGCTGATGCTTTTTAAACTATAATCATTGGTCAAACCTCAAGGCTTTCTTTTAAAGACTTGGTGAGACTTGCAGGTGCAGTTTGCTCAGGATGCAAATTGTGCTGTTCATCGTTCTTCTGCTTTGCTTCTCCTCAGACAGTAGAAAAGATAAAAACAATGTCAGCAAATCTAAAGTTTGAACTATGGTGACAGTTTCAGTTTCTTTCTTTCTTTGGTTTTGTTCTTTTTCACCCTTTTACCACCGACTGTGCTGTTTTATATCTAACGCCCACCGCCCCCTGCTGACTCATCGCCACACACAGTTCACTTTAACAATCGACGGAAGAGGAAACGGCATAGTGGGGGGTGGACAGACAATAGGCTGAGAGAAGAGTGAGAGAGATACTTGAAACTGACAGTTGTGAGTGTGGGTGTCAGTCCATTCACCAACATTAAAAGCCCAGCAGATTTGCCTGTCTTTTTAAGCTAAAATCACTACAGTATGTGACAGTAAATGGTCGATTTCAGCTCCAGTCTTCACTTTCAAGCTGCTTCAGTTGTAGCTTGTAATTATTCTCTGTAAGAACTGGTGATATTCCTCATCTAAAGAGCAGGATTTCTGGTTTTGACCTGCTCTAAAGAGACTTATCTGTTAACAGCCCTAAATTACTGGTGCTTTTTATAACAGCTGTTTCTTTGCAGACTTGTGAGTGTCTGTTGCACATGCAGTTTAAGGCCAATAGTCCACACATAGCAAGATATCTGTAAAATATAAATAGATTTTCATACATTATGGCCTTTCATCCTCACTAAAAATGTATTTATTTAAAAAAACTCCAAGCAAAATGGACATTTAAGAAAACTCAGTATTTGTGTTTGCGGGTGTGCATTGGACAATTGAGATTGAGATGTGCATCATAGTCTGTGACAGATAATGCACTAATATATCCACATACTTGCTTTGACTCAATTCCCAATCGGTATTGTCTTGTATTTAATTAACTTTATATCCTAATACTCTATTTACAAGTAGTTCAACATACAAATGGATCTCCTGGCATGTGTAATTCCTAACAGGAAGTTGTGGTTGTTTTGAAGCAACTTGATTGGCTGGCAGGTTTTAGCTCTGCGCTGCACTGCCCCCTACTGGTTTGGCATGTTTAAAACAAGTCTCAGGGATGTTTTAAGTTAAATTATGTGCCCGTGGACCTCATATTTTTTCATTCCTATTAAGGAATTATTGGCTTAGCACAAACTCCTATATTTTGCTGCAAACTTACTTGAAAGTTAGTTTTGTCTTAATCCAAGTGTACAAAAATATTTTGCACTAAAAACTAGAACAAAAATACTTGGTAAGATTCATTTTTTTTGCAGTGTGTGATTGGTTCTTCTTCCTCTTCTACATCTTGTTTAATGGCAGTTGGCAAATAACTTAATGGAGCATTAGCGCCACCAACTGGTAAGGATTGTGGACCAAATGTTGCTAAAAAGAAGAAAAAAACCTTATTCCATCCCACAAATTGCACTGTCTTAAATAGAAAATGTCCTGGTAGCTTTTACTTCTTGGGTCTTTCTGAAATACAGTGAGAAAGTCTTTGGTTGATACACGCAGAAGGACAATCGTAGAATCTAGACTCGATTAAGAAAAGTGCCATTATGATGAAACTAAAATTGAATTAATTGCCGCTCAGCATCAACATGTTTAATCACGTCTTATTTACATCCTCCTCATTATTGTGATTTGTCACAGCTTTTTGCCATGCTGGTCACTTTACTACCTCGTCTATTTGATATTAATCATTACTAATGTCTTTTCGCCATGCTGGTTACTTTATTACTTCTTCTATTTGATATTAATCATCATTAATGTGGACCCTCAGTTGTCAGCTATTCAGTGACTGCCTGCTTGTATAACCTTGTTTTTAATCTAGTGAAACAACAAACATTTTACAGAGAATATATCTCATTTCTGTCAGTTTTTCCACCCTTTTCACTGCTTCCAACACTCTAGGCTCACTAAAAATCATCCTCACTACTCCAAACATTTTGTCACATTAGAAGCTCTCTTAAGTCCTTAACTTTTATCTTACCGAGGTAAATTAAAAAATTTTTTTTTCCTAAAATAACATCAGAAGGAGCTACTTCAGTCTTAGGATTCTTTAAGATTATTTGAATCAGCCATATTGAAGCAAAGAAACAAAAGCTGCAAGCCACCAGAGGAGAAAATTTCTGAACAACACTGATTGTAATATCTTCTAGAACAGGTTTGTATAATGTAAGTTTCTATTTTCTTTAATTTACAGCCTGATATCCATAGGAGTTTAAACAGAACTAAAGAAAAGCCAGCACTGCTTGACTTTTAGCTGTTAGCACAACAAGCATCAACAATGCAATCAGGGCAGATTTGACCTGTTTTGTTTCCTGACTGAGTCGCTGATTAGCGCCCAGGATCGATTTAATCTCATTATTGTAGCTTCAAGAGTGAATAATTATTTTATTGTTCAGCAGCTGACTATAGTTTTATTGGACAGGAACTGCTGGTGTGTTTCCAGGAGCGCCAACAGGTGGCTGAGAAGCCCATAAATCACTCACTGCAGAAAGGTCATATCCAGCAGTGTTCAGTAATCTGTTCCCTTTATTGAAAGGAAACCCATTTTATATCGGAGAAAATAATACAACACAATTAAGCCTGAAATGTCAAATGTCAAGATTATTTAAAATCTTCTACAGCTTCTGAAAACCTTAAATAAATGTATGGCATTGAAACATTTAATCTGATGTGGCCCTTCGACGTCGACTAAAATGTGGAGGCCATCACTTGTCAAAGACTGGCGAGACTTGAGTGCAGGTCCTATAAATAAATCAGGATTTACATTTCCTCGTAGTGTTGCCCACAGAATTTGCATCGGGGATGGACATAAGAAGAAGCAAATATACTCTCAGGTGGAAACATAATAGAGCATTAATGATGCACTCAAAAACAAATAACAATTGTCTTGTCAAGATTCATGCAAAATATGCTGCATTTATGAGTCAAGGCAGATCCAACTCCCACACGCAGCTGTTCATCGTAGCTTATGTTTGAATGTTAGCATACCTGGCCCACCTGTCGAAGAAATTATTGTGGTTTTTAGGAGTAGGAATATGTCACATCTGTTTTCCAATTTTGATAGATTTTTTTGCTTTCTTTTCTAAAAAAAGAAATTACAAACTGCAGAAAATATGATCAGAAAATTGCTTTTATTTAAATCATCCCATCAATGAGTTTTACAACAAAGTGTTAGGAACTTTATGTTTAACTAAAATAATGTAGAAATAATATTAGAAGAAAGTTGTTTTAATAAGGAAAAAAGCTTGACGAATTAATTTGTTTTTATTCTTTGTGTTGGAGTTCTCATAAATTTGTTACTTCATTCCCCAAATATTATGACTTTATTCTGGTAAGATTCTACTTTGAGTTTATTGTTATACGACTTTATTCTTGCAACATGATGAGTTTATTTCCATTTTTAAAAAGAATCTTAGCCTGGCCCTAATATTCTGTCAAAGAGTTGACCTTAATTCAAAGTCCAAATAGATAAATGCTCGTCAAACAAGATGGCGGCCTTGGGCATACTGACATCATTCTGAACTATGGAAACCCAAGGAGTGCATTTGTGGAAAAAAGACCAAATTAAATCTTCCAAAACCAACAATTTGATTAACCGATAAAATGGATTCATGACCCAGCCCTAGTTTTAAGCAATCCAAACCCAAACCAACATCTAAACGGGTTGCTGATCATTTTCCTTCCTGAATATCTTTTCCTCCTTCATCTGAATGTCACTCATTCAGGCCAGTATCAAACACACACTCACGCATACACCGCCACCCTGGCTCCCTTGGAGACTAGCAAGAAGTGGGACTTTAATTAGCCATGATAATTAGTCTCACTCTCACTCAGACCCCAAACTGTGCAGAATCACACCTTGTCGCCCCCAGTCAGAATCTATCAGAGTTCCTTTTTAGGAACGCTTGATCAGATCAAGGCCACAATGAGTAAATTTGTGAGTAAATTACACCAAAGTACGAAACAAGCAATCTTTCCTAACCAGGGGTTATACAGGCTGAAAGGAAATTTAAGACACACCAGTGTTAGTTTATTTTTAAAATAGTTTTACCCCAGATATGACATTTCTCCTTGGACTGCTCCCCAGTTCTGTGCTGAAGCATTTACAGTTGAGCAGAATATGTGGGAAAATAGGGAATTTTGAAATGATTATGCCCAATTACAAAACACTCCCAAGCTGCTCCAAAGTAAGAGACACTTTTTGGACGTAAAGGTCCAGAAAGCGGAACCTCAACATGTAGTTGCTGCACCGTAGTTATGAAGGCTTTGGAGCAAATCCTCGTTCTCTCAGAGAATCGTGCAGATTTCTGATCACTTAAGTTTGAGAGATGTTCCCTGATTTCAAAACTTTAGCTGCCGCTTGTAATTCCAGTCTCCAGTTTAGCTGCAGTGTGGATTCAGCCTAGAAATCGATATCAAAACTCTGAGAAGTTTGATTACGCACAAGTGGGTGAACAATCCTTGCTCATGTTCATAATACATAATGTCTGCTTGGTGTGTGATTGTGGATTCTCTGTTTAGCTTGTTGAATATTAATTTAACCGAATGAAAATGAAATGCACTTGACTATGTCATTATGATCATTTTTAGAAATGACGGGAGAAAAATAGATTATGATTTTTGTTTTCGGTCTAGTGCAGTCTCTGAGTGAGACACGTTTTTTTGTTTGTTTTTGTTTTTTCACAGCCATGCGTAGCGTCAACATCTGACAAAATTAAGCTTAGCATGACCTGGTTGATTCGCTTCCACCCAGTAAATGGAAACGCACCTAATTTGCAGACATTTTTGCAACATTTTAAAAATTCGCATCACAATTGGATGGAAATATTTCACTACTTATAAAAGCTCCCAACTTTGCATCATATCCTAGTTCAATTGATTTATGATGTATGTCTAAAATATCTAAAAATATCATAAAAATATGATGTCACCAACTATAAAACAAGCAATGAATATTAAATTTTGTCGAATGTGAAGTATTTTTACACCCTGCACATTTGGCTTTATGTTATTTGTCAAACATTTATCAGTTTACCTTCCTGCGGAGAACTGATGTTCCTTTTTTTAGCCAGGGTGGGTCTGGATGCACTTTCGACCAGCCTCGACCGACGGGCAGGTTCTATAGAAGACCGTAATGTTATTCGACAGCAAGACATTAGAGGGCTGGTAAACAGAAGAAGGACATGGAGGCGTTCTTCCATTTCTAAATGCCATGCTCAGTGGGATGCTGTCAACTTGCACCTCGCACCTTTGCATTGCTTTTTTCAGTAAGGTTTCCAGTCACTTTTTGTTTTAATCAAATAAAAAAATCCACCAAACGGAAAGACCAGAAATCTGAACAGACTGAAGTTATCTTTTGATTTTTGCCTATTTAAAGTTAAATGCCACCTAAAATTAATCATTAATCTTATCTCCTGAATTTTGAAGCTATTGATAGACACTAAATAATCAATGGCAATAAATTAAGCATTTTGGAGTTTGTACTGACTTTGTTTGGTTAAATTTATAGCCAGCTAAAATTAAGTCTTAAAGTCTTATTGCTGAGAGATTAAATATTTATTTCTTTTAGGTTTGCTGCCCAACATGTAGCTTTACAAAGCACATGTGTGAATATTGAGTTACAATTGCCTAAATGTGACCCAGTCCAATTATGAGGTGCCATGAGGCTGGGTGAAGATGGAAGCCAGATATTTTGAGGTATTTAATAAAAAGCAGACATGGGCATCAAATATGTCCTGGCATGCAAAAATGTCTTTGTTCTGTTGTGAACTTCAGATTAAAATCCTTCAACCTCATTTTCCCACTGTTTCTTTTACTACATTGAACTTGGACATAATTTAAAAAAAACTAACAATTACCATGCTTTACTCAAGTCCTTAAAAAGTTGGAATGTTGTCCAGATCTGGATAAGTAAGGAAAATTTTGAAAAGAAAACTTAAAAAAAAAATGTGTTGTAGCATTCCCAGGTTTTCTGATTTCCTAAAATAAAATTAAAATTATTGCATTTCAATATTCAGCCAATACATATTCAGCACCAGTCGATTTTGTGTTGACATAAAAGCTCCAGTGACAAAACAACCAAAAAACTATCATTTTGGGGTTAGTCAAAAAACAATAAAAAATAAGAATTTATGCCACACTTTTTGAATCGATGAGAACGGCATTCATCAAAGCAGTGGCCTTGGATCAGATTTTTACCTAAACATGCCCTTCTGGCTCTAGATTGCTACAAAAAATGTGTTTTAAGGCCTTGGAAGTTTTTTTTTTTTTTAAGTAAACTAGACTGATTTTTATTAAAAACACAAGATTTAAGATCAAACATCTATTTCATTACCTAATAGACTCTTACCTCCTTAGATACAGCTTATTCACAAATTAAAGTAAAAGTTTCTACAATTTCATACCTGCATATTAATAATTTTCTCAGTGAGAGGAAAGTCTTAGGCATGTATTGTTGCCACATGATATATTTGTGTGTTTTTGTGTGTGGTTCCGCAAACGATGCATATGCATCTATCTCTCTGTTTCTCTCTCTCAGTCCTCCCACTCACAGTCGGTGTGGGTGTGGATCCTGCAGGCGGCTTTCTCCCTGCGCCTGCCATTAGTCACATATTCTGTACATTATCATCACAATGATTCTGCTGCATACACGAAATATTTCAAAATGAACACGCTCATCGTTGTGAGGAAGTTTCATGTTTGTCTTTGCATTGCACAAACACACAGTGCTGTTTTTCCTTTCAGAGATAGAAAAATAACTGCCTGTCCTCTATGATTCACTGTCCGTTTCTTTTATTTAGTATCTCTTTCTGTTCTATGCAAAAAGGTGATTATCTTTTCTCTCACAAGCTGTCATCTGTGTTCTGTACTTTTCCCGTGGCAGCGTTGTTGTGATTTCTGTCTGGCGGGTTGCTCTGCTGTGGCTGCTCTTGTCTCATCGTGTTTAAAAAAAAAAAAGAAAGCAAAACGAAACATTTTTGTCTCCTCCACCTACACCTACTTGCCTACCATTCTCATTCCTCTCTGTCTGCTTCACATACTTTTCTTTTCCTCCACCTGCCACATGATTTCCTCTGACATCCACTGTCACTGCTCTAATCTGACCTACCCTTTCTCTCCCCTGTAATGTGGGCTTTTTGGCCCCGTCTGTCACTCTGCTCATCCTCGTCCTTTTCCATACCTCTCTGTGCATCCCTGTGGCTCATCTGTCCTCCTCCCCCCGCTGTCCCTCCTCTCTCTGTTTTGTCTTCACAGTCACTGTATCCATCAGATTCTAGAAAGTGTCCATCACATTCACCAACATGACATAGTGCACAGGGACCTGAAGGTTAGTATGTGTAGAGGAGCATCTGCATCCCACCCTTCAACCCTCCCCCTCCCCAAACTTTGCTTGCTTCCTTTCCCTCCTCCCCTCTTTTCCTCCTTCCTCCTCTTTGCCTGTTTGTGTCGATCCTCTTCGTCTCTAGTCTGACGTCCGCCTCGTGTCTTGTTGTGATGGATGTTTTCTTTTTGCTTAATGTTAATGAATTTAATTTATATATTTTTTATTTTTCTAATTGGAAGAATCTGGCCCACCTCACCCACTTTTTCCAGTTTCATCTGCCCTCCCAGTTGCTCTCCTCATAACCATCCCACAATCGACCACAAAGCCAAAGCTCCTGTTGCGCTGACGGGAAGTACGCTCATAAAATGAAGGCGCATGCTCACACACGGTCACATCCTTTATAATGCATCGTATCTAGGGATGCACCCATCCACTTTTTTCACTTCTGACACCGACACAAATATCTGGGGTTTAGTATCGGTTGATACCAATCCGATACAGAAAAATAGAGCTCATTTGACTTAAAATGTTTCTTTTTTTAAACACAAACATCAATTCTGAAATTTATTTGACAACTCTGCACCAATAGATCACATTTAAATACACCAATAGGTTCACAAACTTGGTGAAACATGTAAAACCTAACTTTAATTTTTAGATCAGCCAATGTAAAATAAATAATAAGAAACTGAAACTGACAAAAATAATACTTTGACTACCTTGGCCAAACAGTAAAAATAAACTGCAACAAATCTTCTTTCAAATGGTTCAGAAATGCATTAGAAATCCTAAATATAATGTACATTAAATGATAAATCATAGAATTAAACTAAATAGATCTGCGCTTATACTCGATGTATAACTTTTTTATATATATAAACCAATACAGATATTAATATCGAATTGGTGCAGCTCTAATTATATCTTGGGCTGGACGATGTGGCTGAAAATCATATCACGATAAAAGCGTTTCATGTTGGTCAATATCAATAACTTCTGATTGGTTTATATATCTGAAATATTACCAAACTGGGGGTGTGACCTTGCCTGTTTTATCCACAGTTTTCACTCCATGCCACTGTTTATTTTTAAGGAGTTATGAGGCGAAACGTTAAACTTATGCTGCACAAGTTGCTCAAGAAGTTGTTGCTAGGTAACCACACGTTACTCAACCATTTGTTGCTTGGTAACCAAAGAGTGCGGGAGAACCTGTGCGGTTCTGGATCGGAGTTCAGTGAAATTATTGAATATTGTGTCAGACGTATTACGTATTGATGTTGGTTATGTTTCTATTGTGATATATAGGTATTGATTTATTGTGTAGCCCTAATTATTATCTCATTCTGCATATTGCAAAGTCGTGTCTAGGCAGCAGTAAATGTTAATTTATTTAAGTGCCATACTTAAATAAAGTATAAGTGCTCTGTGTTTGTATAATGCAGACATTTCTAGATGGGGTAATCAGTGGATTTAAAAAAAAAAAATGTTCTTGCTTAGTGTATGTTGGTGCGTGAGCATGTCAGCTCAGAGTCATTAATGGATCCACAAAGCTCTTTTAGGAGAAGAAGAAAAACGGTTCACTCATTAATGGGTGTGATCATTAGCAGAAAATATGACAAAAAATGGCGACAGTAATAATCAGGATTAAGTTTCAAACATGTCCATTAGTGGCATTCTGAGTGCAAAAAAGAAAAAAAAAGCAGCTTTGCTCACCTGATTGTCAACGATGTAGAAAAACATGCATTTTTATTCCATTTTTCACTGTAAGCATAGGAAGACATTAAGAAGGATTACTCAGACTTCTCAGTATGTAAAGCCAAAACAAAATGCCTGTTTTGTTGTACTTTTTTTGGTTTGATCTGTTTTATCCTGAACCTCAGTGAAGAACGAGAGCCGATTATTATTGCAATGGCGTCTTCACGACGGAAACAATACATACAAAATACAAACAAGTTTTGATTTTGCAGGACAGAGCCTTTGTGCAGCCACATTTCTTCTTGTGATCACCCAGTACCCAGACACACTCGGTATATGTGACCTGCCCAGTATTTATTCATTGGGAGACCTTTAGAGATGAGACAGTGCTCTTAATTTATAGCCCTGAACTTTACACTCAGGTCAATGCATCTTTTTCCTCCACCGTCTCTCTGTGTTTCAGATTGTGTCTCCCACCCCAAATAGACTTCCTATGTCATTTAAGTTTTGTTACATTAAGGGTCTACTTTGTAATTTTACTGAATATTTCTTTTAGATCAGAGGACAATTTTTAACTTTAGATTTAGAAACATTAGCATGCCTTACACAGATCAGGTAATTGCTAAAAAATGTATTTTACCCTAATGACAGGATTTTAGACCCAGTTTAGATGTTTTGTAAACAAATAGATATTTGATTTACATGTTTTGTGCACAGAAATGATTTTCTTCTGTATTGGTTGTTTTTCTTCCAGTCTCTGCCACCATTAAGTCATTTCCCTTTCAAATGAATAAACTGTAATTGCAATCAAAGCAAATTTAGTATAGTTTTAACAACCAGGAAGAAGTTGTATTAACAAATTCCAAATATATTCCATCACTTTCCTCATTATCTTAGTTTGATGTGTGGCTAAGCTGGAAGGAGAAAAAATAGACGAAAAATATGATAAAAGAATTGATGGTCCTTTAAATATGGAAATAAATCCCAATTAAGAGCTCTATCTCACCATCACTTTGTTTTATTTGATATTCATTTTGTAGCTGTGTTTTTAAATTCAAAGATAATTGGATTCTTCACCTTTTGCACATTTCTTTTCCAGTTAACAGTATTTTGAAATTAAGTAGATTTAAAAAAAAAAAAAAAAAAACTTTTACTTTCTGCCCATGATAGGTCTTCATATAAGGAAACAAAAGTTTTCAGTAAAGTACAGAATTAATTAATAGCCTCCAATATACCAAAACACAACAAAGTTGGTAGTTTAGTAAGATAATTTATTGTTCTGGAATCAAATTTTATTGCAGACATTCATGAGGAAAAGAATATGCATACTCTACCTCTTCTTCCTTTAAATTAAAAAAAACATTTCAAATGATTTCTAATCTAACCTCAGTAGAACGAAACCAGAAGCCACAGATTGCACCATTTGATAATTTATTTACAAAGTTAAAACGAAAACTTGTTTGCAAAACTAGGTATACCCAAGATGCCACAAAATTAGTAAAATTAAAGCTGCACAATAAATCAGTAATATTGGCCGTAGTGTGATCAGTATAGGCAATAGTAATATCACAAAGGAGCGTTTGAAATCCAATAATTGTATGTGGTAATATGCAAAGTGCAATAAATTAATGGTTTGCATGTCAATGATGTAAACACAGCCTGTTGGAAATCCCAACACCTGACTCTAAAGGTCACAGAGATACAAATGAGAGGAAGAGAAGTGATTTATCACAAATGATCATGATCATCATTTTCAACTATAATTTTTCTAATCCTAATAAATTCCTGATATAGTGAAATCTTAGAATTTAATGAGAAAGTAGTTGTGCTTTTATATTTTATTGTGACTTTATACCCAGTGAAAGCAAAGGTTTTATGTTGAAATGCTTTTTTCCTAAAAATTTAACATTTTTAGAATTTATTTGTAGTTTTACTAGATGGTTCCCTTCAGCTTGCAACTTGCCATGTTTTTCTATTTTATCAGATTCTGAAGGACCAAACTAAAACTAATCCTCAACCTTTTACAGACATAACATGTACATGTAGTTTTTTTTATGTACAGACAATAAATCAGATATTTTAACCCACAAACTAAATCCTTTAAAAAAAGTTCAGTGCACAGGAGACACTCATGCAGGATGGAGCTTTTATCAACCACAGACACACACCAGTCCAGATATAAATGCTTGCACTTTATATAAGTGTGTGTCACTACAGCTCTACTCATCCATCATCTGATAACATTCATACTTTTATATGTTGTTGTTTCCTGTCAGTGTCATCTTCCCATTAATCATAGCCACCTCTTCTATCACGGCAGATATATTATCTAGTCTCACACTTCCACTGCCTCCTAGTTTCTTTCTCACTGTTTTTGGTCTCTGATGACTTGCCAACATCATTTATTTCAGTCTTATCAGCCTGTTCTCAAACAGACACAATTTTCAAATGTAACGACTCAACCCTTCGTTTACCTTCTTCATCAGTGTTTTTCTTGGCCCCCTGTGGCCAGCCATATTCTCATGTCCCATTTCCACCGAGGCCTGCTGGGTAAAACACGGATGGTGGAAGGGCATCTAGAGTCAGATGAAATTTCTAATATTTTTTGGATGAGGGTTGTTGAAAAATATATCAAACTGAAAGTAATTGCCACCGTCAGCTGGTTCTTGCATATTAGATTGACATAAAGGAGTCTTCTGTTGCAGAAAATCCACAGCTGTACCATTCTACCACAACAATTAACCCAAAAAAGAAGTCCACTCTAAAATGAATCCTTTATATATTGGTTTTATGCTATGCTAACTCAGAAGCAACAGATTTTGCTTCATTTTCTGATCATCTTGCTTGTTTTGGGTCCACCAAAGCCAGCGAATGGTACAAATGTGGCACTCTGGCAACAAAAGAGTCTTTTCAACTCTTGTTCTTCCCCTAAAATCTCCCCCACCACCCACCTACCCTTTCTTTTCTGCACCCCATGGCCTGTGCACGGGTTTGCAGCGCTGCTAAGACTAACATGCGCCCCCCCTTCCCTTGGTGTTTGCATGCAGTCATTGCATCCAGCAGATCCTGGAGGCGGTGCTTCACTGCCATCAAATGGGCGTGGTGCACCGGGACCTAAAGGTGAGTGATGGGAATTGCTTTGCTGCCCACATAAAGCTATATATTAGTTATATATTTGTGTCTTTGGGGTTTGTGGTTGAGCTGTTTCTGTAGTTTGTGGATTTCCGTTCTGTTGGTAAGACGTTGTAGTTGTTGCTTGCAAAGTCTGAAGAGTTATAGAGGGCTGTGGATCATCTCATTGCTCATATTACAGTTCAGACTGAACATAATACCTGGTTTTTAAATTTGAAAGTCATGCAGATTCAGGGCAAAATGTTCCCTGACTTTCCTCCAGGTTTCTTCAGCTATAATAAACCTGCAGCTACCTTCTTATATAAACATATCATTTAGTGTGTAGAGAGTTCAAGCATGCAACAGTGTCGAGCATGCAATGCAGGTCATGTAGGCTGACCAATGCTTCTGCTATGTAACCTTTTTGTAGCAGGATTTCTGTCACAGCTGCTCCACATAATATCAGCTGAGAGAGTACCTCATCTCAGGTTCTTTTACTTGACAGCGAGAAGTAATATCTATTCCTCTATCAGATATTCTGTGGTTTGGATTGATACTACACCCATGAAAACCATTTTCTTGCAAAATAGTAATTATTAACTCGCAATGAGTATATGTTTACTGGTTGCAGGAAGAACCAGTTGTAAATTTAGAGGTGATTTTGTCAGGAATAATTTGTCAGATTGTCCACACAGCCCTCAGTGCTCTCAAGGGGTTTTTTTTTTTTTTTTTTTTTTTTTTTTTTTGCTGAGATGCTTTTCCACTTCTCCAAAGCAACATGTCAAATATGATCTGTGCCTATAAACAAATAGAAATCAACCTGTTTTCCAGTCTTGCATTTTGCTGCTTGTGTTGTACCTGATGGTATTTCTGTCTGTTCTTCCTGTCTGTATGTTGCATCTTGTTTTGCATGATGCACTTTGTCAAGTAGACCTCTATGCAAATGTCAGTCCTGGCATTCCAGCAAAGGCTGCTGTGTTTATCAGAACTGTTGTCGGCAAAGACTTTATTTAGCTTACACGCCTATCCTGTTTCACAGCCACGCACCGGAGAGTGTTTCTCGCAATAGGTCATAGTGTGATGACTGAGGACAGCCCGACTGACATGATCCCTCGAATTAGCAATAGACATGACAACAGAGTCAAGTTGTGACTTTATGCCAACAAAAACAATCTCAATGTACACACTGTACAGAAGATGATGTAATGTGCAGTGCGAAGTTTTTTAACCCCCTTGAACTACAAACTTTTAGTGTGCATTCACACCATCCCTGTTTAGTCCGCTTTATTCAAACTCTAGTTCATTTACCTAGAAAGTCTGGTTCATTTGGGGTTGTGTGAATGCAGAACTAAACTCAAAGAAGTCTTCAAACCAAGGGTTTGTTCAGTGGAAGTGAACTCTGGCATGGTTTGAATAAGTATATGAAATCGAAGCCGACCGGAGACTATTCAGTAAGCAGAAAGTGAACTATATCACAGGGCATTCTGGGTAATACAACCAAAGCAAACGCAAAAGTCTAGCGCTAGCGGCAAAAATGACTCTTTGTCTTTTACAAAAGAGAAATCCTTCAACTGCTAAAATCTGACTTCTTTCCATTTTTGTTTATATTTTGTGAAGAAGGAAGTTGCGGTCATGTCTTCTTCAGAGGTTTTCATGTTGTTTCCTTCTGTGGTTCTTGGTGCGGCGCCACCACAGGCGAGGAGGGGAACAGGTTTCCAGTTAGTTTGGGTTGTTTGACACAGCGCAGTGTGTAAGCAAACCGCACCGTGTTAAAATCTAACAAATTTGGCACTTTTTGACCTGACTCGCACCGAGTCTACTGGACTACTATGTGTGATAACTCTCAAAGTGTATTTCTTTAGTATATTATGTGATGGAACCAAACACAACCTGGAATAAAAGTGACACAGGGTTTTTAAGGTTTTTAACACAAAATCAAGTGCAAACAGTTGCAGTCCGTATAAACACAGCTGTCTGTGAAGGTTTTTTTTAGAGAAGACTAGTGAACAAACAACATCAAGAAACCCAAGACACACAGCAGACCGACCCATCAGGGAGAAAGCTGTGGAGAGGTTTAGAGCAGAGTCAGGTCATCAAACAACATGCCAAGTTCAAAATGTTTCAAAAAACATCAATCCAGCATCAGAACTGCATGTAATGCTCCCTAGGAAAGTGTTAAGAAGAAAGAGACATGGGGTCATCTGTGGATCTAACCACAGTGTGTGGAAGAAATGTTTTGGTCAAATGGAGTCAATTGGGCTGAAGAGAATTACAGAATCATTCTGAAAAAGAAAGAAAAAAATACAAGTGTTAGAAAGTTTAACTTTGAGCTCTAGCTGTACCATATGGTATGTGTATACTGTGGCCCAGTCAAAGTCCAGACATAAGTAGTTAAAAGTGAAAAAATTTGCAGAGTTGGTTTGGATATAACTCTCAAAATGCCTGCAGCTCAAATTGCTAAAAAGTTGGTTCTGCAAAGTATTGGGACAATGGGGCTTAACACAAATGTCAGCCATAGTGTTCCGGTTTTTATTTGTCAGCATTTTTAAAACTATGCGTCGTTGGTCTATCACATAAAATATAATTAAATACATTTGTGGGTTTAACATGACAGAGTGTTAAAAAGTTCAAAGAGAATAAATACTTTGACAGTACACTGTAATTTTCCATTAGAACTCGTGGAGTTTTAAAATGCAGCTGCTGTTTAAAACATGTTTTATGTTCTACTAAATCAAAGTTGACTGATTTAGTTGAACTTCAGGTTCCTGGTCTGCAAATTCCTTAAAAATAGGCAGCTTCCCAACGTATGCATACATACCTGCCACTCTCCCACCTCGGTACCAGATCCTTAACTGGTAAATAAATAGAAAAGGAAGTGCGAAAATCTGAAACTGGGAAGTTCTCCAAATCAAACACCCACTCATGACCTGCTCTCCAATGCAGCTTTCCCATCATCTGTCAGTAAACGTTCCTCTCTGCCCTCCTCAACCAAAACCAGCTGCTAATCTTCTCTGCGCTTAGTCTGCCAAAAAGTAGCAGGAGAAAAGGCGGTGCTCTTGTGCCAAGCAGCTCTGATGTTTGTTACTTGATGTTTGAATGTGAGCTCACCTTTTTGATGGAAGCCTCACGAATTTCACCCACATTCGTTGTCACAGATTATACTGCGCTGGCACCTTCTAAACTACCTGATTTACAAAAGTGCAAGGAGTGACATGATATTGGCTCAAAATGGAAGCATTACCACTTCTTTTGCCTTCTTGGCTTAAGACGCTAGCAGAAACACGTCTGTAAATACGCCTGTTTTGAGGACAGGCGAGTCGTCTGATTTGAGGACAGAAAACAATGAAAGGATGCAGGCAGATGCTGCTGCATTGCAGGGGAAGTGGTGACAGAAATCCAGCCTAAATATAATGTCCTAATTTTTGATTTCAAAAAGTTTGGACACATGTTACTCTTCACTGATCTATATTAGGAAACAGCTGCTTTAGCTAATTGGAAGAACAAAAAGGATGTTAAAAAAACTTTAAAAGTTGAAGCTTCACTGACACAAAGAAGTCTTTTTTTTTTTTTCCCCCTATGTTAACTTTGAAGTTAAGTATTTGGGTGGGCGTCTAACTCCCCAGGTATCGACTGAAATAATTGAGTCTACCTGTGCAGACTAAAGGGTAACTTTGATAATCAATCTAACATAATATGTAAGTAATCATGTTAGCAATCCTGGTGATTATCTAGCATCAAGATTATTGTAAAAAATGATAGCCCCAGATCATATTTTGTGTTAATATTTCCCCCGGGAGGGCTTTATGCAGTAGTCAGAGCTGCCTGTTACCTTTACAGAGGCAATGATTAAGTGAGACTAAGAAGAAGAAAGTGAGAAAGAGCAGAGACCAGTGGGGATAGATGCCCATTATTAGAGCTCTCCTCTGACAGAGAATAATGAGGCTAGCTGCATTATGTAGGCCACAGAGATGGAGCCTATAGAGCCTCAGTGCATGAGGCCAGGAAATAAGAGTGCTGCAGACTTATCAGGTTTGACTGCTGTAATGTGGACCAACTTTTGCTGTATCTGTCAATGCATGAATAAAAACACAAAACGTGTGCCTTGATAATGTTTGTCTTGACTGAAAGCAGCCTTCATGAACCCCTTTGCAAACTTTTTTGCATGTCTGCTTCTAGCTTTTACTCCATGAGGATTGTGGTTTTCTTGTCCTATAAGTTCTTTGATAACCTGTTGCCGTTTTCTTCTTCTCTTCAGCCAGAGAACCTGCTCCTCGCAAGCAAATGTAAGAATGCTGCAGTGAAGCTTGCCGACTTTGGCCTGGCCATCGAGGTGCAGGGGGATCAGCAGGCCTGGTTTGGTAGGTATCCCAGAAAAAACAGCACTAAATCTGGGGTACATTTTATTTAATTGACATAATAAACTACTCTGTCATTGTATCTTGTCCCCCATATGGAGACAACTTTCTCATTTTATCAGCTAAACACATTAAAAAGTACAGCTTGGATAACAACATTTTTGTTGTTATCCAAGCTGTATAACACAAATTCCTAAATTTGTGTTCTGTATAAAGTTGTGATTATAATATTGACTTTTGAAGAGAAGGAAGTTACGGTTTTAGGTTTTAGTTTTTGTGAAGCCAACCATTTTTTATTTGTTGTAGGGTGCAATGAGAAAAATATATTGTCATAAGTAAAATAATCTGTCAGTCAAACTCATACTTTTCTCATCAATATTAAGAAATTATTTACTTCAAACAAGCTAATATTTCTTGTTGAAAAGTTATTTGTAAGCTACTTTTGTCCTATTTCAAGTGTACTAGAATATTTGCACTAGAAACTAGACCAAAAATACTTAGTAGGATTTTGTGTTTTTGCAGTGAAATTGACTCAAGGTGTTGGTATTTGTTAGATAAATAGGTCACAGTGTCTGACTGAGAATTTCCAGCAGCTCAAGGCTAAAATACTGACTATTTTGTTGGTTTCTCTGCACACTGTACAATCTGTTGCCTTGCTAATCAATAGTGGATGTTTTCTTGCTGCAGGGTTTGCAGGAACACCAGGATACCTGTCCCCTGAGGTATTGAGGAAGGAGGCATATGGCAAACCTGTGGACATCTGGGCCTGCGGTGAGTTGTAGAGAAACACACTCGTTTAAACACAACATCCATATGGTATTTCCTAAGTGATCACACACAAAACAGCAGAAGGTTGAGTTGATGTTGTGTGTTTTTTTGTTTCGTCGGTGTGTATGTTTTCTTGTGTGTGTTTGTGACTCAGGGGTGATTCTCTACATCCTGCTGGTGGGTTACCCTCCTTTCTGGGACGAGGACCAGCACAAGCTGTACCAGCAGATCAAGGCTGGGGCTTATGATGTGAGTCTGCGCTGTTTTTCCCTTCTCCTCCTTCCATCGCGATGCCCACCCTGCTGCTCCCGCTGCCCCCGTTCCCTTTTGGCTGCTCTTATGTAACTGAGTCGCCTCATTCATATTTCAGGGGGTTCAAGAGCGCAGGTTTCGCCATGGATCACAGTGAACTTCATGCCAAATAAAGACAGAGAAACTGACTGACTCTCTGGCAGTGATTCTGTCCTCATGGGACACAGACCTTAGTGTTTATGCCTAAACACAACAGGACCTGATGGGTTGAGGCTTTCTGAACAAATTGCTGGAGGCTCTGCTTGGACTGGCCTTTTAGTTTTAATAAACAATCCGACCAAAGGGAGCCGTTGTGGCTTATATGTGAAAATCATCTGAAACATTAATAAAGTTGGTACAAGTAGTCCTCAAAATTTGTCAATATGTGCATTGATAATCTGTTCTGGGAAGAAATGTTCACTGCATGTTATTAATGACTTTAAGTTTGAACTTTTCCCAACCTTTTGCACTTTTGATTTTTTTTTCTTTTCCTGTATTTTCTTTTATTTTCTTTCTTGCACTATGAAAATCTAAGAAGCTTCTCAAAATGTGTCCCGAGCAGCCATGTTGGGTTGATTAGTACAGTCATTACAAAGCACAGGGGCGGGAACACTGAGCAATGTGCATGAATTAATTGGAGCATTCAATCAAATCCAGTCTGGCTTTTTAGAGAGCTTCACTCCTGCAGACAGAGAATGATATCTTCTTTTGAACATTTAATCATGGAAGGCTATTTTAGGGATGTTATGCACTATATTTATCTTATAGAGACCAAAAATATGAAATTGATGTATTTAAAATTACTCTAATATAGCGTGTTTTATCAGAGGTAAAAATCTTATTTAAAATGCAAATCTGAAATCATGCTGCTTGTTTTAGCAAATATTTACCAAATCTCTGTTCTTTAGCTTTAAAGACTTATGCTGTAATAAGACTTATCAGTATGGACGTATGTTTATGTACAGTAATCTGAGTAATAACTCTGAATAAATTAACACTAAATGCAAATGTATCTTTAGATCAGATACATTAGAAGACCAAAGTACAGCTGACAATTCTATATAAAAGGGTTGGGATAAGATGTTTCAGAGAACATTATTATTATTATTATTATTATTATTATTATTATTATTAGGGTTTTTCCACCAGTGCTAAACTGGGACTCACAGTAGAGCCAATTCCCAACTGGCCATTACATCACCACATAACTTAAAATGCCTTTTTTAGTCAAATCTTTAAAACTTTCTCTGTTGTAAGCTAATTATGTAGAAGATCACTGTGCAGTAAGTGTTTTTATTCACATTGCAATAGAAGCAAACATCTGTATTAAAAACATAATATACCTAATTTATAGAGGTTGTTTTAAAGATGATTTCTATTTTAACACTACATTTGTAACGTCATGTCTGACTGATTGTTAACCGTGAACTGCAATGCCCACAGTTTTAATCTGAAATTGTAAATACTTACTTTATTAATTGATTTGTAACCTGGAATGGTTTTAATCTGGATTTATAAATACCAGCTGGGAATATTTAACAAGTAAAAATATCAAGTAATCTGCAGTCTTGGTTTATACCCAAGAGCTGGATTTATAAATAAGTCATAAAAACCTGTGTTTATAAACTGGGTTTAAAATAACATTTATAAATTGAGCTAAAAATATCAGCTGTAAATGTAAATCTATGCAGTGCACTGAGCTGCATTCGCTTCATGACAGGTGGTATTAAAACAAACAGCCGAAGGCCTGGAGACGGTACACTTGTGTTATTGCAAAACTAATCTGACTTTTAATATTGTTGAAGCTAGGTATGTCTAAATGTCTGCTTTTTTTAGGTCCTAAATCAAAAGTGAAACATTGTTTTGCAGTTTGGTTTATACAACCCCAGTGAAATCAGTTCTTTGTCTCACAATAAGAACTGGTGCTAAGATAACACCAGTAAAAAAGCACTAAAACTCGTCACTATGAGCTGTTAAGTTGAGTTTCATGTGAGATTTATTTGTGAGGACATCTGCTTTGCTGCTATATTGCATATGCATGTACTTCACTAATGTCCTAAGCTGTACCTTTAAAAACTGCAGAGAAGTTTGACTCTATTCAAACATGAGCAACAACCAACATTTTTATTGTTGGATTGCCAACTAATTTAGGGATATTTTGTTATGTTTTCTAGTTTCCATCACCAGAGTGGGACACAGTCACCCCAGAGGCAAAAAACCTGATCAACCAGATGCTTACAATCAACCCAGCCAAGAGGATCACTGCTCAGGAGGCTCTTAAGCATCCATGGGTCTGCGTAAGTGGTCCTGTCTTTGCTCTTTAACTAAATTCAAACTTACAGATGGCAAGACTGAATGTTTCCATGTTCTTTGTTTCTCATGTCCTCTGCTTTTCTTTCTCATCGCAGCAACGATCCACAGTGGCATCTATGATGCACAGACAGGAAACTGTGGAGTGCCTGAAGAAATTCAATGCCAGGAGGAAACTCAAGGTTTGTTTGCCTACTTTCAGTCTCCAACATCTCACCACTCTCCTCTAAAAAACTCTCATGTGAGCTGAAATGAAATCAATTGTCTGATTCTTCTTGTCTATATTTTTTAAGTCTTATTTTTGATTTCAGTATTTGTGAGAACAGCACACATTGCTCTGAATATGCAGTCAAGTAAATAATTATTTCCCTTAGATTATATATAATGAACACATGATATATTTAAAGGGACTTATTATGCAAAGTTCATGTTTGGCATTTTTTATAATTCTTTTTGGGTTTCTGCTGCTTCTATAAAACAGCACAAATTTATTTTTGTTAATAAGTTCAGTTTTTTGGTGTCTGAAAAATAATCCGTTTCAAAAACCTTCCGAATGTAACGTCACGCTGCACCGTTACCTAGCAACCCCAGGCTTGCCAGCCCATCGCCTAGCAACCCAAGTGGAGCTCCAGCATGTTTGGTCAACTGGTTTTACAATGGCTGCTGGAAAAGACAAGAGTTTTGTTGTTGACTTATCATCTAGTAACGACTTGCTGCATTCGTTTTAGTTGCACAGGAGCCTCCACTTCTACTTTTCAAAAATATATAGATGTGTATTTGCGCATCTGTTTGCAGCCATTTTCACTTGCGAGTGTAAACTAAGAGTTGGGGGCTGTGGCCAGCAGCAGTTTATTTAGATTGGATGTGACAAGGGATTATTATCATTCCTATATATCACTATCTAAGAATAATTTTGTATGAAAAATATGAGCGTGTTTTGTATAACCCATAGACCTAACTTATCATAACCTGTTCAAATAAGCATAAGAAGTCACCTTGAGATAGACTTTATAGTTAAAATGAGGTAAAAAGGGCAAAGTTGCGTTGCATCCAAAACTTTTCCTTTCATGCTGATTTATTGCTGACATTTTGTGTGGATATAACAGCTTAGCCGTTGGAGCATGACACTGTTACCCTGCTGCTTTCGGCCTCTCTTGGCACGGCTCAAATACCAGCTCATAGGAAGCTGGAAACAGAAGCGCAGGTGGCTGCAGGCAAATGTTGCACCATTCAACCAACATGCCATCAGCTGCCACCAATTCTCTCTGGCTTTTCACGCTCAAAATATAAACGGGCAATGAGATGATTGGAATCAACAAAAAGCAAAATTGAATTATTTTAATATTAGAACATCAAGTGGGGCCACCAGCGTCCTGAATTCTAGAGGAATAATCGGTTCTTTCTATTTGTAAGTCACAAACGACTGTAAATGTGACAATTGAAGTTTGAAATCGGGAAAGTTGAAGAAAATTTGGTGTTGAATGGGACTGCATCTGGTTACATTTCAAAATATGCCATTAACATTTGATACAAGTTTTATAAAACCCAAAAAACCTTTAGCTGGAAAAGCAATAAAACTATTTATTGAACTATTTTTACTTTAAATGTAGTTGTGCATCACCATTTTGGCCTCTCACTGATGTTCTAATGTTAAATCAAGAATTTACAAAGTGTTGGTAGCTCCAGCTAAGAGCTTTTTTCATTTTTTCCCTTCAATATCTCCAGTTTGGTTGAATCTTCAATTTGAAATTACAATTTTATTGTTAATCAGTCACATCAAACTGAAACTGTGTTTGATTACAAGTTGAGTAGATTTCACAATTCTCCAGAAAACAATAATACTTTGATTTTTAATTTCTTAACCTGATTCAAGAGTTTTTTTTATTTTTTATTATTTGTTTTCAATTTTAATCAAGAAGTAAAAATATCTGATTAAGAGCTTCACAGTGGATGATGTTTTATATAAAGATGATTCTGATTAAATGTTTTTTGTGCTTTCTTGCTCCTCTTAGGGGGCGATTCTTACAACCATGCTGGTTTCCCGAAATTTCTCAGGTAAGACCATTACGGCCTTTTAGTTTCTTTAACTGTACCTCTAAAGTAACAAAAGTCAATTACCAGCTTTCAGTGTAACTAAAAAGCTTGTTGAGTTGCAAGTCTGTTACGTTGTGATTGGAGCATGCCATCATCTTGGAAGAAAGCTAAAATGATGGCATGCACCTTTTGAACACAGGTAACAGCAAATCACTTCTCTCCCTTAACCTATGAATGCTAATTTGACGTTTTTAGAGCATGTTATAAAAAGGCAAAATCACATTATCATTTCATCGCAGCTCAGCTTCAGTGTTTTCTTTAACTATTACTGTTTATCCAATTCACTCAGCTGCTTTTAAAACAACAATGTTTCACAGATCCAGGATAGAGATTAAAAGCTCAAAATGATGAAGCAAAACTACTTGAGCCTCCCTGGCATCAACAAAAGTTTGCTCCGATTTGACAAGACATCGCCAAGAGGGGCACAAATTTACATCCACTGACAAACTCAAATTAGTCTGAAACAGATATGAAAATGATCCAGTATTACTTAAAAATAAATATCTTTGAGTCTTCTTCCCACAGTGATAACTTCTACACTGAAGAGTGTTGTGCTCAGCTTACTGATCAGCAATAAAAGATTCTTAATCAGTACAGAGATGGCCAGTTTATCTCTATTGCTAGCTGGGAATTATGGTCCAAAGCACAATGACAAAGTATTTTGGATTTAGTTTTATACTTTTATAAAATAAAGGGAACACTGAAATTGATCCGAAAGCTGAAGATGCATAATGTCTTTGTTCTTGTCTTTGTATGTCTGTATATCCCTGTAAAAATCCTAAACAGGATTTTGAACCTGCAGAGTAATAAAGTGAGACAGAGTCAATATTTGCCTCTCACTCCTAAAACCTGATTTTTCTGTGGGATTTATCAGTTTTTAACTTTAATTATTGATGAAAAAACATGAAAAGTGACTCAGCAGTTCCTGTTAGTGGGGAGTTTTCTACTTTGTTGTGGTCAGTGAAATAAAAAGTTGTATAATTACAACCTAGTACTGAATCCCAAACTGGGAGAAGATGTAACTTTTCAAAATGAGATCCTGCCTGCAGCGAATTGCCCTGGAACTTTCCTGATGATATTTGACCTTCATTTAGATGAATCATTAAAGGTTTGTGTCTGTGTAAATGTGTGTGTGTTCTGTGTGTGTTTATGTGCCTATGCTGACACGCTGCTTTAGTAAACATGACTCACAGTAGGCTTTCTGACTCTGTAAGCTGCACAGTTGGAAACTGTCTGAGGATCCACTTTGCGAGCACTCAGCCGACTCCCACAGCCACACACGCTCACTCTGACCCAGGTGTATAACGCGGCTGTTTCACCTCACTCAAGCGCCTTTTCTCACTCTTTTTCATCTTCCTAGGTACTGGTACTCCATTATAAGTGTGAGGCCATCAGGTGGATGAGTCAGAGGATGAGAAAGAACTCTAAAAGTTTTATTTTTTTTTTCTTTTAAAGCATCTGAGCCATCAGTGGAAGGGAGTTGCTGCCCAGTAAATCAAACCAATGAGTACTTTTTGCTTTTTTTTTTTTTTTTTTAGCTGTATTTCCAGCATCTTTGATGAGTCATCCATTACACAAAAAGTGCAGCTGGACAAACAGAGGCGGTGCTATTTATTTTTCTTATGTTGATGTAATACTTTTTACCATAAAAGTAAAAAAAAAATACACTTTCAATTGTCCTCTTTTGAACCTGTAAAATGAAATACAGCCCACATTCATGCGTCAAATAATACTGGCAGTTTCTAAGGTCAGCAAGCACTAATACTGCCACATAAATATTAACACTGGCTAAAAATGGCATCATTACCATTATCATCATACTAACATTAAGGCTTTTACTGAGAAAGTAGAGTGTTAAGCTTCAAACAGACAAACTCTGTGTCTCTCTCTCTCCCTGACATCTTTCTCTCCCAAACCTCCAAATATTGTCTCTGGTCACACGACTTCAGTCAGAAGTTAACATTCGCTCATGATGAGCATGAATGCCAGCTGCGTTTTAGGCTTTTAATCATTTATTTTAGTCTTTTCATTTCCAGGATGGAGTGATTGTATTACACACAAGAGTAACACATAAAAAAATAATTCAAGTGTCTGACTGTGGATTTAATCCACGTAATGTCAAAATTATGCAGTTTTACATCCGTTCACTGAAATATATTAATTTAAGAAAAAAACATTTTTTGTTGCAATCACAATTGATTGCAGCTGGACTGCAAAAACACAAAATCTTACCAACTATTTTTGGTCTACTGTAAATATCTTAATATACTTGAAATAAAAGAAAATTAACTAACAAGTAACTTTTCAGCAAGATACAGGAGCTTATTTTAAGTCAATAATTTCTCAATATTGATTAAAAAGTACTAGTTCCATTAGCAAATAAATTTACTTATAACAAAATATTGTTCCCAAGTGAAATAATCTGCCAATAGAACAAGTACTTTTTCATCAATATAAAGGAATTATTAACTTAAAACAAGCTCCTGTATTTTACTTGAGCCTCCATTTTTCATATTACTTTGAAGAGGAACCACGTTTTTTATTTTTCTTATTAAAATTGGTTTTAATTTAAATCAATTAAATTAAAACCTGGGTTTTGAAGCAACCCAGGAACAAAACCAAATAAGAAAGTGACACTTTTAAATTCTATATTTTTTATAAATGAGAGCTGAATTATTTATTTCTGTTGTTTTGTTTATATTTTGGATATTTACTATGTCTTAAAGTTTCAGTGTTAAATGTTCAGTGGAATGTAATGTTTATTGAACTTGTTACGTTCTTGTATTATTGTCCTATTACCTTTGTTCTACTTGAAAATATTCTCAAAACAACAATGTTATTGTTTATGCAATAACTTCTGGGACAATTTATCGTCCAGCAACATTTGTTATCGTGACAGGTCTGTATATGTATGTGTAAATTCAAACTAGGTCACTCTTGCTTTTGAAAAGTAGTTTGCCTTATAACTACTCCATCCTGGGAAAAGAATGATTGAGGTAAATGTTTAAAAGACTGAAGTGAATGACATTCCTGCCAGTGATGACTTGATGTAAAATTCTCACCGGAACTGTAAATGGATCCCCACCAGTGAGCCTTCCTGTCCTCCAACCCCTCCCTTCGACCTCCTGCTCACCGACTCACCCTCTTGATTATCGTACCCATCTTTCCCTCCTCCATCACCTCTTTGATCCCTTTCTCCCTTCTCCTTTAATGTCTAACTCTTTTTCTTCACGTGTTACTGGGTTTTTGGATTTTTAACAGTCGGCAGCAGGCAGACCACGGCTCCAGCCTCTGTGACTGCGGCCGCGGCAGCTGTGGCTGCAGCCGCCGGCACCACCGCAGGGCTGGTGGAACAAGGTAGCACGGTGGCGCACCCAGGGCATGCCACCCCGCTCCCCCTCTGCTCCTTCTCTGTTCACTTGATTTTTATTTTGTTTTTATCTTTGACCTCATTCTAAAACTTTCTCTAACTCTCATTTCATGTCGTTCCTTTTCTTCTCCCTGAGCATGGGAGTTCAGAGCATGATGGCTGACCACACTGCTAACTACATCTGTCATCGAATCATCAGATGCAGGACTAGCTTAGTTTTCATCCAGTTATTTAGCCAGTTATTTCAGCTCTTTCTTCTCATGCAAGCTAACATTTTTAATGTTTAAATTTACTTTTAGACAAGAATATGGACTTTTGTCACTTTTAAACACTTTGAATATTATATGATTATACAAAACTGTTTATATTACGGCTGGGCAACAAACTGATTTTATTCATGAGTTAGTTTTAATCTTCCACCAATGCGCTGCTGTGGTTTCTATAGTTCAGAGTGATGTCAACACGCCCAAGGCGGCCATCTTGTTTGATTTGGACGTTTAGTTCAGGCCAACTCTGGCGTTTTGTAAATTATGAGAACAAAGTTGATGCATCACAACAGTGCAGTCGTAGTAATACAAGAATAAAGTAATACAATAATAAAGTTGAAATAAAATGAGTCTCAATATTAGCTAAATAAAGTTGAGCATCTTGTGAAGTTATAGTTTGTTGTAATTTCAACAGATAGGGAAACATTTAATCTTTCAACATATCTGCATCAATTTATTATCATCAGCAGGACTTTGAAGTGTTTTGAAGAAGAAAAACACAAAGGTGGTTATATAACCTCTTAACTCCATCAAAGCTTTTTACTAATTAAAATGACTTTTAATCTTTATTTTAGGATGTTCTTATTCTGGTAATATTATAACATGACTATATTATTTATTAGACAAACATTCTCGTTGCCTGGCCCCAATACTCCATCATGGAAGGGATGATTGAAATAAAAGCCACTTTTTAAAAGTATTTTTTGTCATTTGTATTTTTTTTTTAGAAAACAAGAAAAAAATAGATTAGGTATGAAAAAATTGGAGATTTTATTTTTAAAGATCACCCAGCTCCAGTTTATATTTACAGTTAAGTGATTTACACACTAGACGCCATTACAAAACATTTAATCTCTCTTGATATGTTAAATTAGTTCAGTATTTAACTGATTGTCTAAGCTTAATGTGATTATTTTGCATCAGTTCTTTAGAATAAGATGTAGCGGATGAAAGCCTAGCTACGACTGTCAGCGCTCATGTCACTTCCTGTCTGAGATCTGATGGTGTGGCTTCGGTGCCGATCACTGCTCTGTCATCACTCCATTTCATCCCGTCTTTTTCTCTCATACAGAGCATGGCCTTGCTCCAGTCAGACTGATGTTCTGTCCCTGTGTTTCCTCTCAAGCTCTTCCTATCATCTCATCCCCTCAGTTTACATCCATTCTTTTATCCCATCATCAAACCTTTCTGCCTCTCTGATTTTCATCTTCGTCCTTCACGCCACCTGGTTTTTCTCCATATTCTCATCAGGTTTCCATGTTCCCACCGTGTCACTCCCATCTCAGCTGTTCTCTTCACTCTTCTTTCCCTCTCTTCTCTTTTCTCTGTCGGACAATGACACTGGAAAGTTCACCCCCTGCAACTTTTAAGGATGGAGCTGCCCGAGAGCTGCCAGTGAATGCTGCATGGGGCACTGGACTGGTGCATGCGCTGCTGCACAAAAGGGATTTTTGGTGCATGATGAACACTGCAAATGATGCAAGACTGGGCATGCTCACATAGTCAGATGTTTAGGATGTTGGTTTATTGACCTCCGTTTGACCTTTTAGTGGTGTCAACAGAGCGTTTAATAGTACTTCTTAGCATCTTTTTTTATATTAGCATGCCTACGGAGAAACTTGAGTCGATGGAAATGTGAATTATTTTACATTGATTAGTCTAAATATGTTGAAGAAAGTCTGTAAAATGAAGCATGGTATGAACACAGCCTGGGACTTTATTGCTTCATAAACACAAAGAAAGACCAAAACAATTTTATTTGAGTCTAAATTTATGACCTTGTCAAAGTTGCAGTTGTTTGTAATATGTCTGTTGAGGATTGTTGTTGAGACTGTCAGAACCAAAGATGATCTGTTGATTCTTTATCCGGTTCAGTTGGACCATATAGGACTATAATACTGACCTAGTTCATGTTGATATCATAGCTTATTGTTGATACTGCAGAGCTTTGCAATGTTTTTTAAACCAATTGATCTTTTCGACATTTTGTCACATTGCAAACATAAACTTTAATGGGATTTCATTAATTAAACAGCACAAAGTTGTGGGTAATTGTGAGGTTGGATATCTTAAAAATGATCATTTATGCTTCCTTGAACAGGTTAGGGTAGGACTATGGACTATATAAAACATGTTTACATTTTTTGCACAAAATCATTATTACATAATAAGATTTCAGTCTCCTCAGATCTGCCTGTTTTGAGCTTTCAGAATGGGCTGTTTTAGGGCCTATGTCACTTTAAATCCAAATTAGCTGCTGCTGGCCACCTCCTCCACCCCAACTCAACATTATACTCTCATGTGAAAATGGCTGCAAACAGATGCACAGTTATACACCTGTACATCTTTGAAAAGCATCAGTAGAGCCTCCTGCACAACTAACAAGAATGTAGCAAGTGGTTTCTGGATGGTAAGACAAAAACAAAACACTTTTCCAGCAACCATTGTACAGCAAATGCAGCGGGAGTTCCAGCTTACCAAACGTGCTGGGGCTCTGTTAGGGTTGCTAGGTAACGGCATAGTGTCCGTCAGTTGTGACTTAAAAATTTGGGAGGTTTTAGTTTAAGCTCCTGGGCTGTTTTAAGACTCAACTGGAACTATGCAAATGTGCAAGATGTGAATTTTGTATAATAATTGGTTTTCTGGACTACAATTGTTGTTTTTATTTTCCCATCTAACCCCGCCTCTCGCCCGGAACGTTAGCTGGAGATGGGCACCAGCAACCCTCCTGACCCCACTAAGGGACAAGGGTGTAAAGAAAATGGATGGATGGATGGATGGATGTATTTTCCCATCTAAGTTTTCTAGTTTTTAATCACAGTAAACTCTTCATAAGGTGTGTGTGTGATCATTGCTAAGTCATCTGAGATATTCTTGGTTTCTACTTTTAATCTTTGCAGCTCACTCAGACCTTTCTAATGATGCACAGTAAAACTTGGATCTGAACCCCAGCTTGTTCTTGAAAAAAACGTTTAATTTTATTTTCTGAGCCGGTCTCTGTCGATGAAAACCACTTGCACACAGTGTAATAACTCTCCAACATGACAGCCTCGCTGTCAGCTAAGGAGATGCAAGTAGTGGCTGTGTCCTTGTTTCGGTGGTCCACCGGGACCCCTCGGTCCTCTCCATGTCCCTCAGCTTCCATGAGGCTCCACTCAAATATTTATAGTGATCTGCCTCACCAGCTTACTGGAGGCCCTGTTCTATTTTGTGCATCATACACACACATGCAGTCACCATGTAGCAGCTCAGTAAATGCTGTTTTAATGAGAGGGTACTCCAGGCAGTCTTGCACCTGAGTGCAGCTTGTTCCAGCCTGTTAATGTGAATCCATGCCCATCCTTGCTCTGTTCCTGCAGTGATGCATCGTGCTATTTTTGACGGATTCTTGTTCGTTTTGTTTTTAATCTGTTCTTCCTCTCTCTTCTCGCTTCATGTGTAATTTTTGGCAAGGTAAGGAGCGCCCCCCCGCCCCATCCCCTGTTTTCCAACTCCTCCGGTATCAAATAACCTCCAGTATATTCTGATTTTTCAGGTTTCCTCAGAGCTCCCTCACTTTGCTCTGTGTCTAAAATTGTCTTTAGTGTGCATCTCTAACGTCTGGATGCTCAGTGAGACTGCTTTCGCTCTCCCCCCACCCACTTTACTGTTTCTCTTATCTCTCATGTCCTCTCCTCTTAACAAACCACCAGAGATTAGGAGAGCATGAACTTGACTCTTTTCTGACCCCGTTTCTTCTCCTTCAGAAGCAGGCAGCGTTTGGGAACAGTGTGCATTCATGCCACTTTCTCCTCTATTTGGATAATATTGTGCTTACTTATCATATCCTTTTGCCCCCTTCTCCCTTCTTTACTGCTGAATATGAAAATTTACATCAAGTATGAAATGATCAGTGAGGCAGACATGAAAGCCAGGACAAATGAGAAAGATTCTGCTTCCCTTCTATTGCTTTTTCTCTCTTTTTTTTTTTTTTTAATAAATTCTTGATTTCAAAATATTCAAACATATGCTTAAAGTCTAGTTCCATAAAAGAGCTTATTAAATCCAAATTCTTCTCCATATCTGCTTTTGGAACATGTTTAGAGACAAAAAAAAATAAATAAAAAAATCAGGGAGCAAGATGTTCAGAGAACGAGAGGAACGAGGGAGATGAAAAACAGGAGAAGGAAAAGAAGGGAAAACATGCCAGACTTCCAGAAATAGTGGTTTTACGTAACTGGCGGGATGCTGATGTGATTGCATCTGATTAGACTTGAAACTGCACTCAGCCACTTGAAAAGATTTCATCCGTGGAAGTAAGAGAGACCTAAGAGTGACACTTTAACCAGCAGGTCATGTTTTATTCACTTAAATGTACCAACAGGAACAGATTGCTCTCCTTTAGGTTACAATGTTCATATTTTACAATGATGGTATGCCTCATATAGTTCAGTTAAGTTTATCTATGCACTTCTATTTCACAATAACATGCTGACACATTTAAACTAATCCAAACTTTAATTTTATTTAAATATTTAATGATTGTTTTGATCTTCACTACAAAAAAACAGAATCTTGCCAAGTATTTTTGGTCTAGTTTCAAGGGCAAATATCTTAGTACACTTTAAGTAAGACAAGACTAACTTACAAGTAATTTTTCAGCAAGATATAGGAGCTTGTTTTACATAAATAATTCCTTAATACTGATAAAAATAAAAGAAGCAACGGCTCCACTTATTACAAGATATTATTCTCATTGCATTCTACAACAAATAATAAAATGGTTGGCTATGCAAAAACCAAAACTTAAAACTTTAAACAGTTTAAGTTAAATAAAGCTACCAGCTCCCTTCTCTACAAAAGCCATTATTAAAATCACGAGTTTCTAGCTTAGAAAACAGAGATTTGTTTTCATAAAATCCCGGCTATGTGTGGATGAGGCTTTATTCGCACAGATGTGAGGAAAGTGGCATTTCTATCGGTCCTTCTGAGAAATCCAACATTTTTATTCATGCATTCCAAAAATTCATCCTGTTTACACCAGTATCAAAAAACATTGTGATACTAGTACTTTTTAAATCAATATTAAGGAATTATTGAGCTAATACAATATCTGATATCTTGGTGGAAAGATAGTTGTAAGTTAGTTTTGTCTTATTTCCAGTCTACTAAGATATTTGCAATAGAAACTAGACCAGAAATACTCGGTAAGATTTAGTGTTTTTGCAGTGTTCGCTCCACCAACATGTCTGGCTTAGACTTTGAGCCCCTCTGGGGGAAACGTTAATTCAAAGCAGTCAGACTTCCTTCTTGTAGTTTCCATTAGCTGTTGCGAGAGATTGTTAGTTTTAATATTCATCAGAGAACCAAGTCTAAAGTATTATTCCCGCTTCACCCCTTCCCTCATTACCCTTAATTAGAAAGCAGACTGAAAACTAATCCTCCTTAAGGCCTCCACAGGCAGGGCTTATTGTTGGGTTTACATGGCCGCCGTGTGTGGTGGCCGCCATCTTTGTTTCAGCTTTCTTCTCGTCCCGAGGGGAACATTAGAGACGGGATACTTTTTATTTCACTGACAACAACATTATTGTTATGTTTCTTAGTCACCCCTAGAACAGCTCTCTAGCTTGAAAGTACGCTTGAAATTCCAGTTACATTAACGTCTCATCCGTTTCCGTTTGAGTTATGGAACAAACAGACTCAACAAAACCCCTGATTTATTCAGCTTTGCCAATAAAAACACATTTTCTGTGAAGTGCATGTTGTTTTGAAAGGAAGCAACATCAAGAAGAGTTGGACTCTTAAATGAGTCACTAACTTAAAATAGTGATGGAAATTGGAGGTAGGTGTAATTTCTTAACTGGAAGGTGCCCCAGAATAGTTTATCAACGTCTAACTAAGGCTACAGCTGCTAATTTTTGCTTTTATAAAACAATGATTGAGTAAAAAGTTGAGCTGTACAATATTAGGAAAATGTGGCTCGATGTTTAACCTACATTTTCCATTCGCTCTCCTCTAAATTGTAGCCTCTCTATAAGATCTAGGTCAGGTGTGAGCAGAAGTCCATCCAGCTTACCAAATAGAAATCTATCTTCCATGACACATGAAATATAATTGCCCACCAGAAATTGCACACTTTGATAAAAATTTCTCATTCAGGATATTGTGCAGCTCAACTACAAAGATCAAATGAGAACAATAAATCTTAAAAATGCTGTGAGTGTTTTGTTTGAAAGATGAAACAAAGTAAAATCAAGTCTGAATTTCTGAATGTTTAACTGTTTTTTTTTTGCATTCATCCCTGCAGCAGCCAAGACCTTGCTCAACAAAAAGGCAGATGTTAAGGTAAGACTTTGTCTCCCTCAGACGTTTCAGGCCTTCTTTCTCTGCTTTGTTTGTCCTTGTTAGAGTCTGTCTTCACTTCCTTTTTGCTTTTTTGTCTGGCTTATTTTTGTTTTTGTCAGAAACAGATGTATTGTCTTGTCTTTTCTAGTGATAGAGGTTGGATTTGTGGGCTTGTTTTTCACTTGTGTGCATCCGAACGAGGGCTTGTGAGTTTTATATCAGGCAGTTTTAGATACTTTTTAATTTAAACACAGCTCTTATCTGGATGCACATCTGCTCTGCATGTTGCTTCCACTATTGCGTCCTTCTGATTGCCCCTTTTTATTTTGAATCCTACCATTATCTGCGTCTTCATTATTGAATATAACCATCTGTTAGCCCTCCTCATTTCATCACCTCCTCTCCCTTTCGTTGCTTCCTTTTCCTCCTCACCCCATCTGGTCGTTAACCCCACGTTTCCGCTCATCCTTTAATGAAGATCTCTCGCCATCCCACGCTCACGGAGACACTCCGCAGTAACACATCCCACACACAGCTCCCATCAGCGCGTCTGCATGCATGGCGCCGAAGCATGGAACATACTGCTCAGCTATGCGTTATGTTGTGGTTTGCACAGGTGTGCGTTTGTCAATATGTCGGGTTTGCCTTTTAATAAAACGGACACCCAGAAAGTGAAAATGTGGGTGTGAGCGTGCCTGCACATGGAGAGAGTGTGGAAGCGTGGGTGTCGGTGTTGAGTGTGTGTGTTGGTGTGAGTGAACGCCCCCCCTTCATGCCCGTTCGGTTCAGCAGGGAATGTGACTCCGGTTCCAGGAATAGCTGCCAGTCTGGACCCTGGAAACTCAAACGACAGAAATAGACTCTTACTTCCAATGCGGCGCTCTCATCGCCTAGCAACAGGCTCCCCACACACTCGCCCCGAAGCATTTCTAAAGTCGTCCTCTTCATTTGCTAATGTCCCCGCTTTTCATCCTTTTTCTCCTCTCTTTGCCTCGATTCTCCTTCCTTCCTCCATGTCCTCGTGTTTCTGGGGCCTCCTCTCATTCGTTTTCCACTTTCCGTTTTTTTTTTTTTCTCCTTCCTGGTTCATTAATGCATAATGGCACCTGATGCTTCTCAGCTGAAGCACCTGTCCAGCACATGCAGGTGACTTCTCTTTGGCATTAGCTGCCCTTTAGCACCTTTAGCCTCTGCTGCCAGAAACTTCAATTAAAATATAATTTCACTGCAAAAATGCAAAATCTTGCCAAGTATTTTTGGTCTAGTTTCTGGTGCAAATATCTTACTATGCTGAATTAAGACAAGCAATTTTTAGCAAGCAATATGAGCTTGTTTTAGGTCAACGATTTCCTAATATTGATGAAAAAGTAAAGGACTAACTCCATTTATAACAGGGGAAAATGTCACGTTATAATTTAAATAATCTCCCACCACTTTTCTTAATTAATATGAAGGAATTATTTGCTTAAAACAACCTCTTATCTCTTGCTAAAACAGAACGTTTTGTTTAATTTCAACTGTAATATTTTGTATCTTTTCTGTTTATCTACATTTATTATGAAATAACCTGGAAATCTTCAGTTACTATTGATTATAAATCATTTTCTATTAATTTGTTCAGTTTTTATGGAGTCATCTTGTTTCTTGTAGTTAGAAGAGAGGGTCGTTTTTTGTGTGCGTTTACCACCCTGTTTCGCAAACTTCCTTCTCGTGCAACTTTTGCCTCATGTCATTCCTTTCTTGCTTGCACCACCTTTCTTTTGCAAGAGCTTTCAAGTCAGACTTCTCTAAAGACGGTCTTCTTTTCATGATTTTTGCTCTTCATTCTTTGGACAGAAGTTGTGTTTTAAATCTTCAGTCGTCATCATTGCTTGTTTTATTTTCTCTCAACCTCCTCTTTTTATCGATCATCTCCACATCCATCAATAAATCCATCTCATCAATTGCCTGAGGACAGAAACGCAAGTCCAGCTCGACTGTCCAGTACATGGTGAGCATGCTGATTACACATTTGAGCCTCCACTCCTTTTTTGATCATGCTGTTCAGCTGACTTTCTTTTGCTTTATTCATTTCTCTTCCTCTTTCATTCTGTTTGATAGCCGGTGTCAGCACATTACCAAATTACAAAGGTTGAATGTAATTTATGTTTTACATGCTGCTTCTGAGTTGCAACAGGGGCCATTTCTCTGAAATCATTTTTTATCAACTTAAATTGATTAATAATTGAAGATTTTCCTACAACTGACCCAGTCAAGATGAGGCACAAAGTTTCAGAAGGAAAAAGTTTAAAGACAATAATACTGATTTAAAGCAACTTGGAAAGTGAACAGAAGGTGAACAGATTGTATTAAATGGGAACTCTGTCTGAGACTTGGACTTGGATCTTGTTTAAGTCATGTGACTTGCACTCGTACTTTAGAGACTGATAACTGGATTTGGGCTCAACTCCTAAAAACCTAAAACTTGACTCTAAATATCTGTTTAACTGGATTGACGCTCAAAAGTGCATGTTTATTATATTGAAAATGAGGTAAAAGAGAAAAAAAAAACTTGATTGAAAGAAGCAATTACAATTGTTCAATGATGTCCTGAAAAGAAGAAATTCTTTATTGTTTGTGATTTCACCTAAAAACAACGTGCTTTGAATTCAGAAGCTGGAGCAATGCAATTTTAGAGGCAAAAAATATTGCTTACATCTGATCAAAGACCGTCATTTTGGTCATTTGTGGCTCGAAACTTGATTTGGACTTGGAAAAAACATGACTTGAAAAAATGACTCTCTGGTATGCATAATTAATTTAGCCTTTTGTGAGCATTTTTCAAATGACATGAAGAAGATCTTGAGCCACTGACATGGTTCGATTAAAACGCTGATTCTGCTGGAGTTGATCGTCTTCCTCACAGATTGTTGAGTTGATGAGGAATTATTTATCCGATGAGGATGGGCTTGGTTGGTGTTATGTTTGTGTGAAAGGAGGAATTTGTTTGGGAATATTTGCTTTGCATGGGAATGTTTGTTGTTTTTATGGCTGTTTTGTGTTTTTATGGTTTTTTTCTTCTTCTATGTGCTGGCCTGCTCTCTCCTTTCCTGTCCTGTGTAATTTCACTGGTGTTTAACTGTCATATTACAGCAGATCACATTAACACATGGACACACACATTTCTCTTAATGATTTCAATCAGATATAAACGAGTGATGTCCAAACTTTTTACCATGTGACCAAACTTGTCAAGTTGAAAGTTAGTAAAGGCCCAAAATGGAAATGATTGTCGATCTAAAACATAAAATCCAGCAGATTTGCCTTATTTAATAAAACAAAGCAAATAAAAATTTCCAAATAATATCTTAAATGTGCATTGTTTTTTATTATCTTTAGATTTTTATGTGTGTATTTTCAGCAATGCGAACAGGATATGGGCCGCTCATTCCTCAAAACTTTTCCTTTTTTATTTTGTTTACTAACATTTTCTAAAATGGTGCAACAAAGTCAGAGTAAAAGCTGCTGAATATTTGTGGTCATGTTTACTATGAAATTTAAATAGTAATTAAATTTACTGTAAAATTTAATTAAATTAGTCATGTCATGTTTTTATTACTCTGTATATTTTTAGAAAGGCAGTCAACATTTAATTGTTAGATTTGTTTATCTACATCAACCTGCAACTTTGAGCTGCCATTTTTTGTGGTGTGGCTGCACAAAATCATTTCGAGGGCCAAAAATGGCCCCGGAGCTACACGTTGGACACCTGTGTTATAAACCACCTATGACTCAGCATAGCAAATTACAGAACTTGAAACTTGAAAGTGAAATTAAATCTTTATTTAACCTCCAACGTTATTTATTAACCGGATCAGATTCGAGCTCGCTGAAACTTTCCCCACTTTTTGAAGGATTTCTTTCTCCTCCTTTTTAAAAATTTCACTCCTACTTCACACAATTCTTGGCATTAAGCAAGCGCTGACCTCGCTTGACCTCGCACCGATGAGTAGGAACTGCTGAGACGGAACAGATTTGCATGGTTAAGATTTTATGTAATGGGAGCTGACTTTCTAAAAGTGACTCACTTTGATGATTCACTTCCACTCCCAGTATTCTGCCCCACTTAGCAATTTCAAGTTGATATTTTCTCCCAGCAGGATTAATACAGATTCGATGCCAAACCTCTATGATCAGTGTGATCTAGAAAGGAAGTGTTTGCTCTTTGATGTGCGGCCTTCTAAACAGCATTTCATCAAAGCTTTAGGGAGAAAAAAAAGGAGGTTCAAGGCCAAAAAGCATTGTTGAATGGTTGCTATGTGTAACCCTTAACAGGGGGCGTCACTGGTGACAGTGGGATGATGTCACCCCCTCATTATCATTAACCAGACCAGCTTTTAGAAATAACATTTAAGATAATGTTCACTGTTTATCCCTGCAGCGCTCTTCTACTTTCTGGACTCCACACTGTAGATGATATGCACCTATTTTTATCCTGCTATGCTTGTGAGGTCATTCACGTATGATTATGTTCCATCTCTTTATATGGAGATTTTCGTTACACATCTATTGGAAAAAAAAAATATATGAAAAAAGCCATTTGCTAACATGCATGTGCAGAACCCTGCAGTTTTATTGGAATCTGTGGTAAAAAAAAAACAAAAACAAAGAAAACTTTAAAATAAACACATCTGTTGTTACAGTAGCTTGAAAAATGTAGAAAAATCCAACCTTTCCAGTTCATTTCTTCTAAATAAAACAAAATCAGATAAAGGAATATTGTTTTAATCAAAATGACCAGCTCTACAATGGTGGCATCCCCAACAAATCCTAAAAGGTGAATATAATTCAGACATATTTCAGATTGTGTGACACTTTTTTAAATTGATTGTAGAGTTGAGGACAATTTTTGTAGAAATGTGTAACAGAGTCTCTTCAAAACAGGAATGATATGAGAACATGTTGCTTAATTGACACAAATATTTCAGTGTCACAGAATAAAAGATTAACCAGTTGTAGGACTTTTTACACATTTTTACCAGGGACACCAATAAACATGTATAAACAGTGCTGTGTAGTTCTTTTTATCTACTAGTTTTGCTTTCAAAAAGCTAAAATGTCTTGTAATCTACTAAAAATGATCTTCTGTTCCAATATTTTTATTTTGACTTTTGCTGCTTTTTTTATCAAGTTGTTTCTGAGCAAACCAGCATATTGTTGTGCTATGTTTGCTTAAAAAACTAGAAATTTGGGCAAACAGAAAAGTGTATAAGGCTTAAAAACTGTTTATAGGTGGACGGATGGCATCATGCAAACAATAACATGACGAACCTGAGAACTGATTATCTGTTGTACTGCAGGTTTTCAGCCAATAACTAATTTCAAATCACCTTACTGGTGATAAAATAAACATGTATATGCATTATTTCTATATTTGTGGTATTTTAGAAATTTTTAAATAAAGAAATTGCAGCATGTTGTGTATTTATAAAAGGCTAAGATGAACAAAAACCCTAAAAGTGACTTATTGTGCTTCCTTGAACAGATCAGGATAGATCTTTGAGTGATACAGAACATGTTCATGCTTCTTTTTTTGCACAAGATCATTCTAAGATAATGATATTTAGATTTTAGTCTGATGTTTGGGGGCATCTTGTCACTTTAAATCTAAATAATCTACTGCTGGCTGCGCCCCATAACGCAACATTTACACTTTGTGGGAAAATGGCTGCAAACAGATGCGCAATTATACAACCGTACATCTTTGAAAAGCAGAAGTGAAGCAACAGTTGCTTCTCTGAAGAATTTACAAAAGTACAACTGACTTCTGTTTTGTTCTGGGGGTTTTTGAGGACTGTCTTCCAGATTTCTGCTGGTTTAGTTCAGCAGCATTTTAATGTATCAAAAGTTTACAGATTATCTTTATTTATGGATAAAATCATATGGTCTAAACCTTTATCAAAATAAAAAGCACTAAGAGCAAACATGCTGTTTGCTGATAGGTTTATGTCCTAAAAAAGTTGAGAATAAAGAATAAATAATCCCTTCTCTATATAAAAGGTCACACATTTATCTGAAAAGGAGTGAAAAAGAAGCAGCTTGGAAGGAACCTCAGAAAACTTGAACAAATATTGACTGTAGAAAGTCTGTCTCCTTGTGTGCCAAATGAACGATTGAAGGATGATTCAAGACTTCTGCCCAAAAAAATGACTTTACACTGGTGCAGTGAGCAATCACACACACACACCTGCATGGACACACCCTCTTGCTGTTGTTAACACTCTTGTTGTGTCTCCTCCCTTTTCCTCTCCTTTCCTGCACAGCCTCAGACAAACAGCACCAAAAACAGCATAGTCACCAGTCCCAAAGGAAACATCCCTTCACCTGCTCTGGTATTTACCTCCCAACCTCCCTTCACCTCAGTCTGTGTGTGTGTGAGTGTGTGTGTGTGTGTGTGTGTGTGCGCCTTAGAGCCCTCTGTCTCCTCCCCACTGCTCCCTGTTTGTGTTTACTTCTGTGTGCATCCGTCAGTTGAAGGTAATCATCGGCTGGTTAGGTTTTAAATCAGCAGGTAGTGTCAGGAGACATTTCCCTGTGGCAGCTGGAGATGCTGTGTGACTTGCACTCAGGTTGGTTTTGTGCCGCTGTGGCATTTTACCCGTCTGTGTAAGTTTTCTAAAAATGACTGGACACTGACAGCCTGCAGGTACTGCCAGTGTGTGTTTACTGTAGCAAAACTATCCAAGGGTAGTTCGGTCAAATAACACCTCAATCAATCTTTTTTTGTTTATGTTTCAAATCTTTTGGAAGCTGCAACAAGAAGCTTCTTCAATTTTTTGTGTGTGGTTTTTGTCCTAATGCTTATTATCAGCAGCCATTTTATAAAGTTTAACCTGTTACAAATCAGATTAGGATTTAGTCCCAATGGAGAATAAACAAATTAATAGCAAAATAAATATTGTATTGCCTAAAATGCAATTAGTGAACCCTTGATCATGTGTTGCAAAGGATACATCTGCAGCTAAAACAATGCTTCTAGCAATACAATACGGTGTAGTGATCTGGTGATTATTTTTGCAATAAAAAAATAATTAATTGATAGCAAAGGTGCCTAATAAGAGATTTTTAAAATAATTTTAGCCAGGAGAAACTATAACTATTATATCTTATTCTTTTATATCTTACATGCAAAATGTAAATATTTTGTACAGTTTTGTTTTAATTACTTCTCTTAATATGTTGTTCTTTCAGCAAATGGCATAGTTTTGACTCTGTGCTCCAGTTATCTATACAAATTCAGTTCATTTACCATTTAACGATCAATCGATTACTAAATTAGTGAAAGTCAAATCAAAGTTTATTTATGTACCGCATTTACAACAACTTTAGTTGACCAAAGTCCTGCACAATAATTGTAATAACATCATAGGTAGATAAATGATGAAGCAATAAATAAAATTAAGTTTGGTGAAAATATAAAGACAATTATAAAATTGGCAGAAAATACCAAAGACATTATTTCAGCTGCAGTGATTTCCCAAAAACTCAGATCAGTGAAGTCATGATATCTGCCTTCTGTTTTTTTAAACTGGTGTTGAAGACCAGGACAAATAGATAACTATTATTTCAATAATCTTTTCAATTATTTCAGCATTAGTACAGTTTATTCACCATGTGAGAACAGAAAGTTTTGGAAAATATCTTTTGCTCTTCAGTCTTCTTCCCAAGCTGCAGAAAATTCCTTATTTGTTTTATAAATCCACATCGAAATCGGGGTTTTATTTTTTGAATTCCACTTTTCTAAAAGTAGGTCCTGTATATTCACTCAACTTACTTGTGAAATACTTTTGCCAGCTACTATATTCCCACTTATCCCCCTCAGGCCACAGTTATAAATGGGTGGACACATAGCTCCAGATGCCGCTCTCATGATCTCACCAACTGTGACATGTAACACAGCTGAGCATGTAATAATAATCTATAATATCTTCTACTCTGCTGAGTAAAAAGCAACACGTGCAGCCACATGAGCGTGTTTCTAAACCAGGCTGTGTGTTGCTCATGTGTGGCTGTGAAGTCCACTTATGCACTAAGCTCAGGCGCACAGAGTTTAAGGGGAGAGTTGCATTTAAGAGCTTAAGACTCTTGTGAAAAATAAATAAATTAAATGTTCACTGAAGCTGTTTGTAGAACAGACAGATTCTCTGATCCTTGAAAGGAACTGAGAGCGTTTGGAGGGGCAGAGGTTTGTTTTGGGGTTTTTTTCTGCCAGGGACTCAAACTAGTTAACGTTTCATCTTTTCTAATCAGGAGCAGACTGCTTTCACTTCCACAAACCTCTAATCATCTGACCTGGAAGCTGTTGGATCCGGTGGAGGAATTTGTAATACATATTTGCAAACCAGTTCTGTCTTGTTTTTTAAACTGAATCAGTTTAATTGAACCTAAGTGAGGTCACCGGCGCTTCTTTCCTTCCCTCCCTCCATCGGATCCTACGATGCCATCAGCAATCACACCCCAGGTACTTTGTTCTCACTCATCGTTGCCACCATCATCATCCGAGTTGCCATCAGTGCCTGTTTCCCTAGGAGACGGTTGCCTAGGCAACACCCAGAGCATCACAGAGAGAGAGGAAGAGGAGAGAGACGAGTAATGATTGGTCATCAGAGAAGTGTCACTTTCCGCAGGGAGAGGAGTGCTGCAGAGGATATGGAGGGCGCTGATGGTTTCTGATTTACTGTATGTCGAGTGAAGAGTGAGAACAGCTGTAGAAAATGGAGGGGGGGAATAAAAAACCTGTTAAAGGGGCTGAGTCATGAGGAATCAGAGCCTGCAGAAGTGAGAAGGGAATAGTGTTGGACTGCAAGTCACAAAAGTGAAGAAGTGGCCAAATCAAGCTCTGACAAGGCAGCATGTTCGTTTCAGGGGGAGCCTAATGTTTGTCGCACAAAGATGTGTGACGTCTGAAACGGTGCATTGTTTTTGCAACACCGTACTCATTTTATTTATAAATAATAGATTATTTATCAGTTAATCTATCAATTAATAATTGTGCAAATTTTTCATTTAATCCTTTTTTTATACAATGTTACAAATACATTAGCAAATGCAAATAAACAAATAATTCAGTTCCTTTCTAAACAGAAAAATAAACATTTTATTTCCTAAAATGAAACAATTCCTATTATGAAAGCTTGATTTTTATTTATTTTATTTTTTTTACAAAGATTCATCAGCAAGATAAAAAAAAAATCTGCTTGACTTAACATTAATAGAGCGTACGGCTGATCTGTTGATTATTTTGGATTAACCACATAATTACATAGCAAAAAGTGCTTTATAAAAAAATACTTTTTACAGAATTTGAGCCAGGTGAAGCTGAAGCTGAGCAACTTGATTTTAGGTAGAATAAAAGGTATTTTCTTTTATTTTTTATCTTAAATTTAAATGCAACATGTACTGTGTATATTTTTGTACAATTCTGGCTTAATTCCTGCTCTGAGCTTGTTGTTCTATGTTTTGAGTCTTTATACTCCAGTTAACAATTAATATTTGGTTACTAAGTTAGTTGACAACTATTTCAATAATCGATTAATCCAATTAATCGTTTCAGCTCGATTTTTGAGTCTTCTACGGCATTTAGTTGTGGATTTGTATATCAGTAAAGAACAATCAAACAAAGCAGCGTTTCAGAATTACAGCTATGGAAAAAACTAAGAGCACTGCACTGAACCCTATTCAAACCTGATAGTTATTCCACCAAATATTAATTTCTGAACTCTTCCGGAGTTGAAACATTAGTACTGCTGTTTCTGAATGAATATGAACTTGATTTCTCCATTATTTGAGGTCTGAAAGCATTGCATCTTTTTTGTGATTTTGATTATTTCTCATTTTCTGAAAATAAATACTAAAGTTTTGCTTGGAATTTTGGAGACATGTTATCAGTAGTTCATAGAATAAAAGAAAAACAATGTTCATTTTACTCAGACTTGTACCTACTAAAGGAAAATCAGAGAAACTGATCATTTTGCAGTGCTCTCTTAATTTTTTCCAGAGCTGTATTTGTTTCTCTCTGGTCTATCATCTCTGTTGAGCCGAGGGTGATGGATCTGCTTGACCTTTTTTCTTATTTATTTCTTATCCTGGGGTGTGTTGGGGTTTTCTGCAAGGTTTGCCAGCCTCTTGTGAGATCTATGTCACAGAGCACTTCATGCATAATAAATGAGCTGGCTGATTCCTCCCTTTAGATGTCTGACAGTCCACATGGTTCATTGCTTGTTTGTGTCATTGAGAACATGGAGGTCAAACTTCCACATGCACAGCTGGCTGGCCCAGAAATACATTCTTGCTGTTTTACAACAGAGTCAGATAAGTTCAGGTTTAAAAAAGGACACGGTTGGTTGACTTTTATAATGCATGCTGTGGGGAAATCTGTGCTTTCCTTGCACAAGATTCTTTTGGTAGTTTGGTGTAGCGTATTCTTTGAAGTTGAAAGCTAGTTTGATGTGGTGATTTTAAGCTATCTGGTTGGATGACTGTGTCTGTTCTTCGTTCGTTAGTCAGCAGGGAGCAGAGCTGACTCCAAATTACAGTTTTCAGCTCATCCACCCACTCTGTCATTTTGTTGGAGGGTTCTGCCCCCCATCTCCTCCACCAGCGTTTCCTTCTGTTGTTTCTTTTTTTCTTTACTTACCATTTCTATCTACATTTGTTTCATATTCTGCTCTTTCTCTCACGTTTCCTCCATCTTCTTCCACCTCCCCTCCTCTTCTTCCAGGAACCTCAGACAACTGTCATCCATAATCCGGTGGACGGGACAAAGGTATTCTCCATTCCCAAGTCTGGACTCACTCTTCATCCTTTTTTTCCTCATCCTCCTCTTCCTCCTCCTTCTCCTATCCTTTTTACATGTTTTTAACATGCATCCGTGTGAGTGCACCATTGCATTGTGTGTGGATTTAGTGTTTGTGAGAGTGTGGCAGAAACTGAACTCCTGATATTTATGCTGTTATTAAAAAAGATGAGATTAGGTAAAAGATGTTTCTTACCTCTGCATGTGTATTTGTTGTAAACCAGTTTTGTAAATGCACAGACCTGCAGCAGGAAGATCTGCTGAGGATTTTTCTTCTTTATGAAGTTCTGCTTACAAACCAACTATTTGCTCCTGCCTGACTTTTAGTTCAGGAATTTTTTACTCTAACTTCCTCATAAATGTGTTTCCTACATGCAAGTGCATTTCCCTAATTTACAGTATAATTGAAAAGTTAGCTAAGCTTACTTTGGTAACTAGGAACGAAAGGTGAAATTTGTTTATGGATTGATTACCCATAGTCACAAATTAAAATGTTATAATGTTCAGACACAAGACCAACCAAAGATGATTTTTAATACAGAATTTTTAGCTTATTTAAAAGTTTTTCTGTGTGTGCTTTCAGTTCTTGTTCAGGCTAATTTTGCATGAATTACTGAATTAAAGCGGCGTGACATGGAGACAGTCAGCTTGTTGTTCTGCAGGTTGCTTTAATGGACTCAGGTTGCTTTAATGATTCCCTTCAACTCGTCTGCATTGTTGCCTCTAATGTCAATAATGCATCAATGTAATCCAGATTAACTGGTATTAGAATGTTCAATGGCAAAACAGGCAGAGTTAAAACAAACAAAAATAACTTTCCCCACAATTATTTATCAGTGTTCTTTAAAAACTTGCTTATTTTGTACACAGCTTAAACAAAAAAAGTTAAATTATTACTAATTTCTATCTTGGGTTGGAAAAAGTGAAAAGAATTTAATTAATTTCCATTTTTTTTCTAAAATCATAGTGAGTGTTTAAATTTTAATCTCTCATAGAGTCAAAGCTCTGTATTGATCTTATGTTTGCTCAGCTTATGTAACATCTGATCATAGTTATTACAGAAAACAAGTTTTTACTTGGTATGTATTTGGAAGTTGTGAATCTGCATGAGTTTGCAGAAAGATCCCTTCCACCCAGGCATGACTGAGCTTTCTGTGACGTCTGGTTATTATAAACTTGTTACATGCACAAAGGAAACATTAACGTTTTGGACACCCATCTAATGTAGAGCAGAATACTTATTCTTTAGTACTAAAGTCAGCCTGACATCTCATAATTTTAGGACAGAATGCTGATAAACTGCTTTATAAATATGAGTCAGAAAATTGCAAAATGTGCAAAGAAGCAACCAGAAGGTGTGATCAGATATTTAGAGCTTAGCAAATGTTACAGTTTTCTCCCCCTCTTCTTGGCAGAAATGCAGTTAACATCCTTCTTGCTCTTTCTTCCTCTGCTCAGGTCACCGGCTGCTCTTTTAAAGACTATAAAAATCCACTTTGTGCTCTTGAAGCTGCTGGTGAACGTGTGCACTCACTAATCAGGTCATGGAGTCTCTCAGCACCCTTTACATGCAGGGGAATTTAGACCCATTTATTCTGCTAATTGGAAATCAGAAACTCCTCTTCTGGCGAAAGGAGTGACAGAAAGGCAGGCAGACAGACAGGTAGATAAATATATCTGAACGGCGTGCCGCTCTGCCCAGGATGACAGCCGATCTTCCTGTGAGAAGCTCCCCTGTCTGCTTATGATTTTGAGAAAGGTGGAAAAGGCTCCTCCAGTTTAAAGTTTCAGAAAGGCATTTTTTGATGCAGAAAGTGTTTAAAGCTGCAGTATGTAACTTTTATATTAAAAAATGTTCTTTACATATTAGTTAAAACTGTCACTAAAGTCTTATACTGTAATAAATGAGACAAGTGATTTCCACCACTTCATCCATGAACATCTACTGCTGTCTAAAAAAATGCACAGCTCCCAACCAAAAACAACCAATCAGAGCCAGGAGGAGGGTCTCAGTGCTGTCAATCATCCTCACTTACACACTGCTAAATGTGCTACTGACTAAGGAACAACTTGCCATCGCAGGAAAACCTTTTAGATCTGTCGCAGTAACAAAATATTGACGGTAAACAATAATGATGTTGTTTTGAGATTATTTTCAAGCAATCTTGTAAAGGGATAATAATGCAAAAACACATTTTCAAAGATCAATAAACCTTAAATTTTAATGGATATTTAGGTGTTGAACTGGAAAACATTATATATATATATATATATATATATATATAAAAATTAAAACAAAAACAAAACAACAGAAACAACAAATAAAATGAATTATGAAGTCTCTGTTAATAAAATTGCCGTAATTGAGACCAAAGCACCAGATGGAAGACTTTCATCATCCAATTTTTGGTAGAAAAAGAGAGCAAAAAGGGAAAGAAGATTAATCATCCAAATGGAAATTATTGAGGTCATTTTAATTCATTATGCGAATAATTGATTTATTGTGACGGGCCTACTGATCGGTGGCCATGCTAACTAGCTTGAGTATTCACTGCAGGCTCTGGAGCGGATGAGCCACATGGAGGGTGACTGACAGCACTAAGACCCGCCTCCTGGCTCTGATTGGTTGTTTCTGGTTAACACTGGGAGAAGGCAGAGGAGCTTGAGTTTTTTTCACAGATTATCTGTCTCATATACTATCACAACATAGTGACGGTTTCAACAAATACGTAAAAAATGTAATCTTTTTTTAATAAAAGTTATATACTGGAGCTTTAAGGTCAAAAGTCATGCAGATTTCAGTTTGATTTGAAGTCACAGTTTTAACAATGATTCTTACTAACGTGCGAACGGTTTCCACTGCTGTTCATGATGTGTCATGACAGGATGCGCCCCCTGCTGGCCTGTGCTGCGCCTGTGCAGATTTACCTTGTTTATCCTTTGTGTGACAGACGTCTTTCTGTGTATCCTGCTCAGTGTGAATCCCCTGCTGTGCCTGAACACAAAGTGATTGGCTGATTTGTTTTCTTCTCCAGGAGTCGTCAGACAGCAGCAACACCACCGTGGAGGACGAGGATGTGAAAGGTAAGGCCTCACCGATACAAACGAGTCTGAGTTTCTGATCCCAGTAAATTATAGGATTTTTTTTTTTACAAGCACTTGATGTTTTTATGATGCAGTTTGTTATGGCAGCCAGCTTGTGTAACTGCAGCCATGAATATCATATCAGGCAGATGAGTAGGTTTTACAACAGCGGAGGAAATAAATTTTTTTTGTTCTTGTTTTTGGTTGCCTGGTAGCTTGCTTAGATTTTCAACAGGGTTCCTTCTTTTTCAGAGAGGCAGGTTTGTGTTCCTGACAGCTTTGTTACAGAAAGAGCCTCTTTGTGAAATGATTCAGTTTGTGAATATTTGTTGCAACAATCTGTACAACCTCTAAAATTAAGCCTTTGTTTTATCTATTTGTTGTTTGTGGGACTGTAAGATTTTGAGTCTCAGTGGCAAAACTAAAATTATTTACGGACAAACACTGTCTAGCTTCCCATCTCTTTGTCTGTCTCTCTGTTCATCCATCTGTTCATCCTTCATCCAACCAACCAGTCTTATTTGTCCTACAGTAGATCTATCCATCCATCCAATTTTCTGTTTGTCCATCTAGCTGTTCAGGCATCCAGCTGTTTGGCCTTCCTTCCTTCCTTCCTTCCTTCCTTCCTTCCTTCCTTCCTTC